TTCCACGAACCAACCTACAATCTACTACATAACATTACAACCACCAGCTCTGACACTATTTTCGTAATAATAGCGAATATTGTCGACCTCAACCTCACCAGTTTCTTCATCATCATTAGCCGCTTCTGATGAAACTTGGGTATGGGGCAGTCCAAGTATATAAGTTAGGGAAGAATAAGAAACGTGGGGTTGTACCAAACTCCCAGAATTGGAATTTCTATTACGGCGGTTTAGGCTGCTTTTGTCACTCTTAATAGTAATTGGTGTTCTCAAAATATTTTGTTGTGACTCCAGTTGTTTGATCTCTGCTTCACTTATAGCTCTAAGCAAATCCATTTTAATTCGAATTTGATCCAGTCTTGGGAGTTTTTTCATAGTTTTACTCATGCTTAAAAAGAATGTATCTAGATCATCCAGTTCCTGTTTTTTATTTCTATTTTCTTGAGAGCTTTTCATCATATCCATCATATCAGCCAAGTAATTATCAGTACTTGCCTTTCTTTTATATGACGTATTCGAGTACTGGTGCGGGATGGAATGCTTTCAGGGGATGGTTGGCTTTCAGGGTATGGACTCTGGGGATGGAATAGAAGAATTTTCATAAGACACATTAGCATCAAGATTTCCTATCGTAGAACGGCCCTCCAAATATGGCTTCAAAAATGACATTTGTTCTTCAAACCGCCAAGGCGCAATTATTTTTCGCTTTGGTACATGCCCATTACAAATTTATAGTTGTAGACGTGGGCTCCTATGGCAGAAATAATGACGGCGGTATTTTTAAAATCGATACTGGATAAACTATTGGATCAAAAGAAATTAAACATACCGGAAGATCAACCTCTTATGCCAGGATCAGAACCATTACCGTATGTTATAGTTGGCAATGAAGCATTTCCGTTAAAACATTATTTACTTAGACCTTACAGCAAAAATACTTTGCTTAATAATGAATCCAATAAAATTTCAATTATTGACTGTCTAGGGCCCGAAGAATTATAGAAAACGCATTTGGGATATTAAGAGCAAGATGGCGGGTATTTCAAGGGCCTCTTCAAGTACAACCAGATATGGTGGACAAAATAGTTCTAGCAGCATCCTGCCTTCATAACTATTTGGGTACAACTTTTGAGTTGCAAGATGAAATATCTTCAGAGCCTACATCACAACGATCCTTAATTACATTGGATGGTCTTATACGGCTTCCACACGATACAATTTTACGTCCAATTTGATTAGATTGACAATCGAATTGTGTTGTGTGGACGGAAATATGAAATTGAAGGTCATTGGATGGTCGGTATCGCCCGATTCGGGATTGCCCAATCAAATTGGGTGGTGTGGACGCTAACTGGCCAATTTTTTAACGTAGTCACTGTAAGCGGCGTTCAGAGTGGGTGTTGACTTGTCTTTTGAGAAGAAGATGGAGCAACATGACCACAATATTATGTCTATTCGATCTGAACGGGAAGTAATGGAGGAGATTTTAGATATATGTAAACGATATGATAAGACTTGTCATGCAATGAAATGAAATGAAATGAAATGAAAATGAAATGAAAAAACCTTTATTGGCCATCTTACATAAAAAATACTATAAATTTAAAGAATAAATAAAAGAGGAACTTAACCTAAAAACAAAAAATATCAACATAAAACTAAGACGGCCAATCAGGACCCTGCCTCAGCTTATGCTGACACAGTGGGAGAATACTCTCACACTGCGTCAGCGCTGGTATTCTGGCAGGGCCTGTGCGAGGACGTCTTAGGCGCTAACAAGCAACAAAAACAATACATTTGTAACAATACATACAACAATGCTTAACAAATCCTAATTGTATTGCGCATACATACATACATATAAATACATGATATAAATATATATATATATATATATACATATATATATATACACTTTAAATACATAAAATGAGAATCCTAAATAAAGAAACATAGCGCAGCACTCCGACGCACCCGCATCGCATCCGATAATGGTGTCGATTCTGTCATGACTCTCCAAACCTAAGACCCAACCCAACAACAGTCCCCCCCTATCATTTTATATAGAGAATGACAAGAACAGCCTTTCATTGTCATCATGCCTTTGGGATGTGTCTAATAGTACAGTCAATCTGTAGGTTGAGTGGTGAAAAAAAAAACCTAAAGGGTAAGTCTTGTTTTTCTGTTGCCAAATGACGTCAGTAAGCCACCTTGGCGATGGGCATGTTCAACTCGTAGGCGTTTTTTGAAAAACTCAAAAAAACAGTCAAAAATTTTTTGAAACGCATTTTTCTTGTTTTGTATGCATTTTAGAAACTTTTTTTTTTTACCATAATTGTAGAGGGCGTTGAGTACTACAATTTATGTCATTGTTGCAATCTCGTACAACAAAAAATACGCATTGTAGGTGGCGCTAAAGTCTCAAAAAAAGGGTTTTTTCACTTTTTCTCCCTGAAAATATCATTTTAATGGAAAACTTTAAATGGCAAAGTTGTTTCGTACATAATTACCAACAACTTTTGTATAACCAATTTTTTTGTATTACTTACCGTTTTCAAGTTATAAATTGCGCAGGTATGAAAAATCCAATAGAGCGGTTTTGGGCAGTTCAAGTACACAGTTGCAGTGCATATTTCAATGTACGTTTTTACTATTTTTTTTAAATCATGAAAAAAAATAAAAATAAAACTATTTTTTTTTGTTTTTCAATCATGAAAAAAAATAAAAAATAGTAAAACGTACATTGAAATGTGCACTGCAAATGTGTACGTGAACTGCCCAAAACCGCTCTATTGGATTTTTCATACCTGCGCAATTTATAACTTGAAAACGGTAAGTAATACAAAAAAATTTTTCATTACCTACCCCAGTATCCTTGAACCAGTTTACATTTAATAACTATACTATGTATAAATGTTCATTGGCACGAGTCTAAATTCCATTTCGGGTCAACCCTAGCGCATACACTCTCCGGCTCAAGGTCACTGACGCTGGTTCTCTCATGTACAGGGACTGTTACCCCTGGTTACCCCTGTGCCCTTGTTTGGAAGAGGGTTTTCTAAACTTTTATGTTATAGCTAAAAAATGAAAATCCGTTATTGGCATTTAGATAAACTATATTGTAAAATCTGTATTATATTATGAAAATGCTGTGGACTTTGGTCTAGAATTAAATAAATAAACAAAAACTTCTATGCGCGCGATCGCATCTTTTTAATTGGTACTTTGGCTAATTTCAATCTACCCGTTGATCCTGCGATGGACAGTACTGCTTTAAGTGTAGTGGGCCTGTGTGTGCCACTACAGCGATCAGTCGTTTAGTCGATTCGATGAAGGTTAGTAATAACGTTATATATTGTACTTTATTATTATGTTATTTTTGCGTTATTTTTTCTTTTGTAGATAATTTGTGTTTTAAAATGTTTAATGCTTTTTATTATTTGCTGTTTTTGATACTATTTGTCGGTTTTTATTAAAAGGTGAAAGCGATAATTTATCAATCAGAGAGTGAGAGAGAAATGGTCTTCTGATTGTAATGAAGAAGGTTCTTCTTTGACCCAGCACAACGATTAATGACAATACTAAAAATAACCACAATTATTGAAAGGACATCGACGAAATCGGCCCTAGCATGCCCAAAAGAATGTCCTTCACTATTATTTTTCTATTATTTTTTTAACTTATTAGCAATTAATCATTGTAAACGGACAATCTGTTTAAGAAAATAAAAAATTAAAGTTCTGTTACTAGATACTACAGTCTCTTCATCCAACTTGGCACTCCTTTTTATTGAAAATACAGCATTAAAAATCAACTGATAACTAGATTCAATAGGTTTCAGTCTATAATAACGATTTATTTTAATAGTTTATTGGCTTCGTTAATATTTTATTATTAAACGGGTGATTCTGTTAAAAAGTTGTGCCAAGATTGTTTACCTTATTAAATGCAATATAGGCGACCATAAAAATAGAACTAGGTACCTTAGTCAATAATACTTATTACTAGTATTTATATTATATTTATAAAAAGATTATTTCTGAAATTATGTAAAGATAGTTTATACTCCCATCCCATGTACACATACACATACATCATCAACCCATGTTCGTCCACTGCTGGACATAGGTCTCCCCTAATGCACGCCACTGCTCCCGATTTTGTGCTACTCTCATCCAGCCCACTCCAGCCAGCCTACGAATATCATCATCCCATCTTGTCTCAGGGCGTCCTACACTACGTTTACCGAGTCGCGGTCTTTATCCCATCCCATGTAATATCTGTTTATTTTTATGAAAATCATATTGATAACCAGGTACATACCTAATTACCGATAGTAAAATATAGAAACAGGTAAATGGAAAGACTGAACATTTCACTTGAAAAGAATCTATTATTACCTACTACAGGTAGGTATAGGTATCATAGGTGCCAACTGACAACACTCATAAATCAATATGAATATAAGCATTTATTATTTTTATTATTAATTGCATTTTATGTTCATTTAATGCATATTATTTAAGTGCTTACATAGAGGTAAAAACTAAATCTATTCAGAATATATGAAGTGTACATCTCTTACGATTAAGTATAATAATTATAACCTCAAAATCTAATACATTCTGTAGTAGGCCAAGGTTCCTCAAGTTGTCCGTATCTCAACAAATGCTTAATTAGAGTTTATGAATGATTCCGAACACAACTAGCATTTTCTCATTGCTGGGCGTTATAGGGCATTCAATGTATGGGGAACGAGCAATGTCCTTTACTATCAAACAAAAAGACTAGTAGATACATTGAATCAAATGGAGTCCGTTGCTTTTTCCAGTCACAAAACACGGCCCTGGTCGTTGTGCAATTTTTATGGAATGCTCAACACAACATTTATAAATATTTACGTTATTTATGTGTATTATTCTGATTGCAATAATGAATTACGTTTTTACATAAAAAAACTTTCCAATGATAAATCTCATGTTATTTATTATTGGTTCCTAGGCTTATAATGGCTTCAAGCCACTGTGAAAATACTTATTACAAATAAACACATTACGCATTTAAATTATACTATGTAAAATATTACGATATTGCGACCACATTGCTTAATTAGTGCTTTGTTATTTTTTTAAGAGTAAGATTTGTATTTGACATCAATCGAGTTGTCAATTGGCAAGATGAAACGTGAATTGAAATTTTTATTTGATAAAACTTTTAAAAACAGCCTGCTTGATGAACTTTTATGGCGGTTATTAACCTATATTTGCTCTGCTCCACGCCGTTCTTCCAACTATGTATATTGTATATGTAATATCAGTGCGTTAATATTAACGGAGCTCCGCACAGATCATCTTCGCGCAGTTTCAATAGAAACACTTGCCTATTTAGATGTCTCCGCAAAGCTAGCTCTGGTCCTGTGGAAACGCACCCTAAGGGGAAGGGAAGGAAAGAAGCAAGTGCAGAAGGATTTCGCTTTGAAATATTGGGTCCATCAAGTTTTGTATAAAATGTCCATGGAGATTATCTAGTCCAATGAACAAGATAACGAACAAAAGTTCATCGGTTGCTAAGTAACGAGAGTTGTTTTGTCATTCAACAAAAACTCAAAAAATGTTGATGATTTTTTTATTGTGAAGCAAAGATTTGAATCGTTATGAAGCACTTTATTTAAATACATGACTTTGTTTAATTGGTATATTGTTGTGAGGAAACGTGTGAACAGTGGAAAAATATACCTATAATAACTAGATGGGCCCTAAATTATGGCGGACCCACAACATTTATCCTTAGAGGGTAAGTTTCTTAGATAATTACTAGAAGTTTTTATTATTGACCCCACATATTTCAACCTTTATCAACCCTTATGGCCTGCGCAGACGACGGACTTTTATCAGCAGGGCTGTAGTTGGTATTATGAAAAGAATGTCCGCCGAGGACTTGTCACGAAATCAACGCCACCAAATCTTTGACGCGCACGGTGTGCGAACATTTTTCCCCCGAAAGTTTAGACAGACCCACGGTATGGAAGCAATATTCTGATAGAACGTTGTATTGTAATTAACATTAAGCTTAAAAAAGAGTAGATGTTCTAAAAAGGAACACTAGTCCATCTATTTATATCGAATTGATTTATTTATTTGTATTGTTGAGATTATTAATTAAGCTTTCACTACAATATTGATAAAACAATGTTTCACGGTCTTAATGAAAGATAATAAAATATATTTCGAGTGTAAAGCGATGCAAAACATACAAACAACATACTTGAAGTTGAATTAATCACTAAAATCACTTAAAATACAAAAAAAACATAAGCTCAAAAACATGACGCTAAACCACAATTATAAAATGTAATTACTTAATTTTATGTTTTAAATCCCAAATTTGGACATCCCTCCCAGAGCCGGACCGTGAGTTAAGGGGGCCCTGGGCTAATACTATTTAGGGGCCCACCTCAAAGTATAGAAAAAAATGAGACAGAAAAAAATAATATACTATATTATGCCTTAGTATTATACTACTGTTAATAAATTGACAAATTGCAAAGCAACCTTACCTACTGCAAAGTGCAGACATGGCAAATTCTTTAATTTGCTCCTCACATTCTAGGCGGTAATATCAATGGGGTTACATTCAACAATGTATTTTTTCTACATTCAATGTACTTCTAATCATTGAGTCTACTGCTTTAAAGAAAATAATATTAATTTTCTTTCTTTAGTGAATCACTAGTTCAGCTTTAGACATCATCTATTTTGAAAATATTATATCTGCTATGGAAATTCAGCGATGTTTGCTTGTCTGAATTTCCGATCTGTTTACTTTAGTAAAAGTATGGATTCTTTCGCATTATCGTCTATTTTTGGCTTTGACTTGACTAAGCTGGGGGTCCCTTGAATCCACGGGGCCCTGGGCTGAGGCCCAAAAAGCCATATGGTAGATCCGCCTCTGATCCCTCCTCAATTACTTGATAAATCCTTTAAAATTATTTTATTTGCATTTCTGATGATGAAATCTATAGACGCTAAAAGATTTATTCAACATGTGTTTCGCCATTGTCCTTTTCGTAGTGATACTCTTTTTTTAATGTATAATAAAATGAGTCCTTTTTCCACTTCTTTGCCAAGTACATCACTATCGAGTGCGCGCCGAGGACTAAAGTCCTCCGCGGACATAAGTCCCTCATCTGCGCAGGTCATTTATTAAATGGGGACAAGAACAAGAAGGTATTTTCAGATTAAACTTATTCGTTTAATTAGATATGTAGCGTGGGTTGTAGCTGTGCCCTACTGTATACTAAGATAAAATAAAAAAAAATTGTTGTGAGCTTTCATTATTATTTATACGCCTAGCAAATAAGTCACACAAAGAAAACGGCCGATGTTTCGCGGATTTTGTACTACATAAGTAGATACTATTCTTATTGATGAAAAAAGACCCGTCACTGTGAACTTATTTTCATAAAAAAATGTTATGGACGGTGTTTCCATAATATCAGTTGCTCTTTTTATTGATCCAATACGCAAAAAATTCAATCGTAATTCCGTGCAAAGGTCCTTGAGAGATTTTTGCTTTCCAATGTTTTATGCGTTATAATAAAAATGTGTAAATAGGAGAAGAGGCAGAAGAAGAAGTCGCCCCTGAACCGATTCCAGAAGAAGCCGAAGAAGAGCAAGGTGAAGAAGAATCTATTCTCACGGAATATGATTCCGATGATTTCGTATCTGGAGCTGTTAACAGTTTGGATTCTACAATACCACTGGATTTATTTGAGTTTGAGTATCCTTTGAATAGTATCTTGTAATGAAATACATTCAGTAACAGAACATTTGGAACAGTCCAGCCACATAAGGAATGCCTAATTAGTATCTTATTATTGCATAAGTTCGTTAGTTTTTTAAGTTTCTCTTGCCTTTTAATGTTCCTGAGCCTGTAGTAAGATATTCGTATGGGTACAATTGTCACAAGTATTTCAACCTATGCGCTTGCGACGAGTCGGTAGTATGCTGGGCTGCTGGCAGTATCATAACTTTCATGGATGTCAACACTAAACAAAATTGGTTCAGAAGAAGTACCACTGGCGGCTCCATTGGACATATTACCGTTAGCTTATTATTCTTATTTTCTACTTATTATCCAGGAAATGAAGCTAAAAAAATGGTACAACCTCGCAATTTTTTCGTCAAGCACCTATTTGTACAAAAATTTGGGATTAGTCTTATTATACCAATTGTCTTATTATACAAAAAATATGCACACAGGGATATTTTTGTCATTAAAAAGCTACAATTTAGTATTTTATCGTGTTTTTCGTTGTTTTAGTATTTTGGGAGATATTTTTAAGAAAATGGTGAAAAACACGATATAGAAAAAAAACGGTTTTCTCTTTAAACTCCTTTTTTTCTAAAATTTGGCATTAAATTGGCTAAACTTCGTGGGTGTATTAATTGTACATAATTACAGAATAATAAAAATAATTACAGAAGGGTGGCGATCAATTTTAATTAGGGGGTACTTTAGGGGTTGTGTGTGGTACCGATCTTATTTTGATCATAAGTCGGTAAACTTTCATGCTAGAGACATTGTTTTTTATTTGTTTGAAAGCTCTAATTAAATACTTTTAAAAAGATACTATGAGCTTTCTTCGCTTAATGCAAATGCTTGCTGTTTTCTCGTTATTTCGCTGTAAATCTTCCAATTTATGCATTTGACGAAAAAAGCAAAGCATTAATTTGCTGGATCTTAGTTCATATTATTATTTGTCATAGAAAAAATATAAAAACGCATTGTTTTCGTTTTTTTAAAAGCTACAATTTGACTTTCTACGCCTTTTTTGATAAAATGCATATTTTTAGAGTTATTCGCAAAAAAAAACATTTTAAAAAGTGGATTTTCTCGTCAAAAATCTGTTACTTTCAACTTTGAGTAACTTAAAAAATATTAGTTTTACGAAAAAACGTATATAACATTTTTTTCTTAGAGTTATTTTGCTGTCGATTCCTACAGTTACAATGTAATAAAAAGATCCACCCCCGAGATGGGGTGGCAACCACCTCCAAGGCTCTAGCGTACAGCGGCATGATATAGAAAATGATCCTTGATCTGTTCCCTACCTTTTGTGAAAATTTCAAGTAAATCTATGGTGGACGAAACAAATGTGAGCCAAAATGCTTCATTTCCTCGACTATTAGTAAATATTATTAACATAAAAAGTTCATAACTCCTAAATATAACAATATATTTGTAAATCTCTTTTTGTTAAATTAATAAGTAGTGTTTGTCATAATAAAGTGATTTGATATTCAATATTAAACTACACAGATCTAGTCTGATTTTCATAAAGATAAACCATTTAAAATTCCTTTTAACAAAATAACAATTTCAGTCTCATAGGAAAGATCCAAACTATCGCATAGCAATTGCTGAAGGTAGAGAAGGCGAACGAGACCCTTTGATTCTGCTCTATACTTGGCCACAAATGGAAATTGATGCTGTACTGCGGGATGGCACAAGTAATGCTTACTCCATTCTTGATTTCAGGTTTGTTACCTTTTTGTCCTGACTATGTTTTTTCTGTTTGTTTTGTGTATAGATAAATAACACACATCAATTAGCTTAGCCTCATAGTTAGCACTGTAATGGCAGAACTACACTTATATGTCGTGTTGTGTTGTGACGCATCAGAGAGCTATCTGTTTCACATATGTAGTATGGTATGAGTGAGAACGGTGTCGACACATCGCGACACACAAGTGTAGTTTTAATAAGTATATTTTTGCATAAGGCTTATGTTATGTGATACTGGGATAACATATAAAATACATATACTAATACTTTATAAGTATATTTATCTAAAAATACATATTATAAACATCCATGAAGATACAAATGATCGTATAATGTACCCGTAACCCTCGGATGCCCCTGAGTAGAAGACACTTTGAAACCCGGCGTACATTCTTAAAGAGGTATTATTATTTATAGCCCCGACGGAGAGCTTCTCGCTTCTGTTGGCAAAGACCCTGATTATAATCTCACCATTTGGAACTGGAAACGGCATAAAATTTTACTGCGTACCAGTGCCTTCACATTTGATGTCAATGCAGTTATGTTCTCACCATACTGTCCGGGCCAACTTACCACAGCAGGTACCTACTTACTCAATAAACGTAACCTGCGAAGATGCTGTTGTACTAATAAAACGTTATATGTAAGCTCGGAACTTGACTTGATTAAAATCGTATGGGTCGGCGGAGATGAACAAAATGACTGAAGCGACTGGTAGTTATATTTTTTATTCAACATTATTTGATCCTACCGTAGATTAAAAAAAAACGATAAGGCTTAATTTTCCCCCTGATATTAAGTGTAAATAGAGTGCAGTTGCAATGTTAGCTAATCCTACACCCCAGTCACCCTCACCTTGCTGGCAAAAACACAATCCTCTGTCCGTGGAACCCTGGAATCTTATTCTCCAACAGAAACACAACACCACCAACATATTATTTTATTTTTATTTTATTTATTTATTTATTTTATTATACAAATACAATCATACACATACATATTTAAAAAACCATACACCAAAACCTGTTAAGGTTTATATGTGTATGGGAGCCACTCATTTACCACTTTATACACTTTCAAATTGACTATTTTGTAAGTAATATCTTTTAAATTTATATTTATATTTATTGATTACAATGTTCGAGTACATTTCCTGTACATTACTAGGCAATTCATTGAGATAGGAAGGTATTAAATAACATAGCTTTCTATTTCTTTGGACATTATTACATTTCGGCAACAAAAACTTTCTACGATCCAACACATTTCTCAGATTATCTGGTCTCTTATTAATATTCAAGTACTAAGGCCCGTATTACAGAATGACAACTAAGTGTTGATCTTTACTTGAGTACAGTTAGAAAGGGATGCCGCTATGTGCTATATATAGCGACATATCTTTCTAACTATGCTCAAGACTACATCAATCACTGAGAATATTTCTGTAATACGGGCCTTAATCTCGTTAGTCTCGTTACACTCGGTTATAATAACGTATTTTACCTTGTCATAAACATTCATCACATTACAATATCGAAATAATTCTTGTGCGTTACCTTTATATTTAACTTTTATATATTTGGGTACAATTATCTTTAGCGTTTTGTACTGAATTTTATAAATATCCTCTTTGTATGTCTTATAAGTTCTTCCATAACTACTTATTTTTCTGTGGTCTTCTGTAAAAATGGAATTTACTTCCCAAAACAAATATCAATTTAGTAAGCGGCTATGGAAATCGTATGTCCCAACCATGTCCTGCAATTTGCGACTGCTCTTCGTCGCCATTGTGGTCTCCTCCAGTCTAAGATAACCTTTAATATTGACTTGATACTGATGTCGATTCTATTATCATTCTCTCAATTTAAAACTAAATTTAACATCAGTCTCTCGTATTCATTTTGTATAGAGTATTTATAAGGATACACTGTTTTCAAATTTAAGTTTAGGTTTAGAGAATAATGCCAGAATCGACACCAATGTAAATATTACAACCAAATATATCAATAGGGGCAGCTCATATAAAGTTTTGGAAAATGGCAGAAACGTTCACTGGTCTCAAATTGAAAGGAGAACTCGGTAGATTCGGCAAAACAGAAATTTGCGATGTCCTCGGAGTCTATCCAATGCCCGATGAAAAGGTAAATGCTGCTCCATGTTCATAAATACTATCTATTACACGTAGGTACGAGCTTTGATAAATATATCTTTCAAGTGTTTGTTATGACAAATCATGTATCAGAATTGTTTAACTATTCTCAGGTGCTGTCTGGATGTGACTGGGGTAATATATTAGTTTGGGAAGCAGGACTAGTAAAATTAGAAGTAACTCAACGGGGAAGAAAATCGTGCCATAAAGCACCCATTGTAAGATTTTTACACTTACTTATATTCAGTAAAAATAAATAAAGGTGTCGTAGTGCAGCCTTTATTTCGAAGCGATAGTCTATAATATGTATAACTTGTGGTTGCAATATTTGGTTATTCACTTCCATGCGAAGGGGATATGAATCTAATTTCTAACTGATTCATGTTTTTTTATTATAATTCATCACAGATCCAGTTCATGTTAAGTCCTGCTGGTGACGAAGTAACAACAATAGCACGTGATGGCTGCATCCGAGCTTGGTATTGGGATACAGTTGATCAAGCAGACCCTCCTGAAGAAGACCCATACGTTGAACTCAATCCTGTTGCTGAAACATGTGTATGTATTCTTAAAAATACAAGGCAATAAAGCTATCATTAATCAGATAGAGGTATGTCTGTTATTTCTTCACGCTTATATTACTGAACCAATTTACATAAAATATTTTGGTATAGAAATATTTTGAGCCCCGGGAAAGGAAATAGGATAGTTTTTATTCCTGAAATTATTCTATAGAGCGTCCATACACGGACTGCTCAAGAAGTCAGAGTCAACAGCTATAAACTGCCATTGATAACTGCTCGAGCGATCCGTGTATCTGTGTATGTATGAACGCTAGCAGCACTGTAGGTTACTATGCAGTCGCAGCTTGAAACAGTCCACCCCGACTGCTTCAAGCTCATGTATGGTGCCATATGGCTCGTGTATGGCGGGCTCTTGAGAGAGCGTAAATGATCAGTTCACTCACTCTTAGGAATACCGCTTAACCAATTTTCTGGCTGTAATTTTGAGGACAAGGTCTGATGAACAAACATTTTAAGAAAGTCTACCAGAAACCACCGCTATATCGTAAATACTAAAGGTATTATTGTATTAAAATCTCAAGATTTATCTTTATTATTATTATTATTTAATTGCACTCTGCAAAGTCGGGGTGGATTGTATATAAAATATTTGTAAGTACGTTCAGCATCTTTCAATTTAAAATTCTTTTACAGGTACCGGACTGTCAAATTATTTGTCTCAAACACCGAAAGGACGTGTTTTGGTATGCTCAGGTAAAACATAACAATCTTTTAGAAAATCTTCTTGTAATAATGATGATTTCTACTTTTACCCTTTCTTTATTGCCGTAGGATGGGAATGGCGGTCTTTGGAACGTAGAACTCGACATCGACAAAATAGAATGTGACCATCGTAAGCTTTTCACGTGCCATGCAGGTGGCGTCGTTGCTATGGCTGCTCTGCGCAACCATCCTATTTTAGTAACAGCTGGTGAAGACGGAGCTTTACTGGCTTACAACACTGAAAGTCACGTATTGTTATCTCGACATCAATTTCCAACAAAAATTACATGTCTTTTATACCCTCCCGTTGATGTAAGTGGAATAGAAAAAAACAGTTATACACATTTATACCTGCTTAATTTTCGATAAATGTATTCACAGTTTATTGAATACAATGCAGGTAGATGAAACCAGTCGCATTTTACTGGTGGGTTTCAAGGATGGCATTATGCGAACGCTTCTTCTCCACCCAGAACGTTTACAAACGCAATCTCAAATGATCGACGTGCGTATACACTCTGCTCTCACTATACATAGTGAAGATTCTGACAACGCCGACGTCGTTGACTTAATATCGGTAATTGGCAATACAACTCCTTAAGCTTTTATTTGATAAAAGGTTGGCAAGCATATGATAGGCCTGATGCTAGGCGGCCACCATAGCTTATAGACACTTGTGATACAGAAAAATATCATTCACGCCGTTGCCTAGCTAGACCCAATCCCCTACTATGTCTGGAATCTTAAAAAAACAGTTAAATAGGGAACCGATGGTGTCGATTCTGGCATGATTTTCTAAACCTAAACTTAAATTTGATGACAGTGTATCTTTGTCATTCTCTATACAGAATGAGAACAGACTGTTGTGTTAAATTTAGTTTTAAGTTTCGATAATCATGACAAAATCGACACCAAAGTATACTTAAGACTCGGGATGAATAGACAAATGGAATTTATTGGCTTTCCGGAAAACTTAATTATTATATTTGATAATAAAAAAACTGTAATATGATATAATGATTACCTTGTCATCATTACGAATAATTTTCAGTTGTTGAAACCACACTCAAAGGCTTTGGTTCAAATTACCATTAACGAACAGCGCACTCTTCTTGTAACTTGTGGTCAGGACAGCACACTATTCATGTATCGTCTAGAAAAAGGAACGCCATTTGTGCTACACCGTCTAGGATTCATCGAAACTCCGAACAACATCGTTTTTATGACATGGAAACCAAAAGAGGTTTGATATATACCGTCCGATCGTTCAAAATTGCAAGTCTCATTATGTTCTTTGCTGATTGTTTCGCAATTTTCCCTTGTAAAGCTTCAAGCATAATAACCTTAAAGGTAGATTAAATGGTACTTTTAATGCACTGTAACAAAAACAATTGCAAACGTATCCTATAAAGTAATTCTAAGAATCGAATAAATTCTTTTTCATTTCCAAACTGTTGGAGTTTCTGAAACTCTTCATTTGGCATCCTTTCTTATATTTACTTATATACTTACAGGAACGCGTGCTCTTACTTTGTGGACAAGTTGGCCTTCTGATGGAAACTGTATTACCAGATGTTCCATTCCGTAAATACACTGAAATAACAACGTTCAAACTTGATTTTGTATCTTATAAAGAAACTCTAGTCAAGAAAAACTTGTGAGTATAATAGTAGTCACTTTAGCTTAGCATACGCGTTTACATCATTCATCGCTACCTGTGCTAGTAAAACATTGCGACCGTTGTTGAACGTAGAGTAATTTAATAGCAACACTCTCAAAGCAATATCTTTGCAAGCCACATTTCGCATAGGTTGAGCCAATGTTTTATATCTAAAAACAAAATTGATATACGAGTATAGCTATGTAACCCCATAGCTTTAAACAGGTTTATGAATATGCTGAGTTTGTCCGAAAGTATTTAACTACCTACACTACAGATTTTACAGCTAGGGTGTTAATAAAACTTTTTTTTAAGCTTGAGTGTTTTACCAATCTATTTTCCTTATTACTGTTCCCAGTATGCGTCATCGTCCTTTTCCAACTGAAGAGGATCTAGCTAGTATTGACGAAGAAGCCCTAAAAGCAAAGGAGGAAGCAGAAAAGGAAAAAAAAGATGACGAGGAAGAAGAAGACTGGCTTGGAGAAATTCAACTAAGTAAATATGTGATAAAAGAAAATAATTGAGACATCAAAATCTCTCGCTAAATGAATCCTTAATTAATATATGTATAATATTTTCAAGAACCCAAAAAAAATACCAATACAGTGTTTTGAACAATAACTTTAACCATAACGACCTTGTATTTAATAATTTTCTACTTGCAGTGGAGAGCGAAAGTATGCTTGGAACAACATTAACTTGGGCTCACTACTGCGAAGAAGGTATTTGGGTAGTACAAAAAGGAACCGGTGCTCTATTACTGGTTAAGCCTGGAGAAAACAAGATCCTCAAATACGGTCCTATACCCGGGGCATGGTGCGATGATTTGACTGCTTTGAAGTTCATGTAAGCATTAAAAATCTCTTATCTATTAGACAAGTCCGTCCGTCCGTCCGTCCGTCCGTGGTGCTGTTTCAGCGGCCTTGCCGTAAGAGATAGATAAAGAGAATGTTTAAGTTATAAGTTGAGAATAGTCTGATAAGACTACAAACCGGATGTGAGTAACGTAGCACATCCGGTTTTCGAGAAATCACGTGATTTCTATTTCAAACGAAACCACACAAAATCTCCGAAGTTCTCAATTAATTAAATACATTTTTTTTTTTGGTGAACATTTGGTTCACTGGTTTGCTAGTTATACCTAAATACATAACGTAAATTCTAAATTGTAAATAAAAAATAACCTATCATATTATCTACACCTAATACAAATTCTAACTGAAAAAATACGAAAAGTTTTATGCGGTTTGATTACGGTTACAATCTTGACGGAGAGAGTCGAACTTACTCTACGAAAAATACTGAAGTAAATAAAACACTGTTTCAACGGGTTTAAAAAGCGTTTTTATACTTTTATACATATCATAACAAAAATATTGATGAGACGAAATATTTCGGACCATCAGAATACTTGCACTTGCATATATACACATAAGATAAAAAAATAACTCCATTCCTTCACTTGAATATTGGGGAGTTGTTTGTACGCTTGAAATTTGTTACTTCTTGACATTTGGTAATCAAAAACACAGAAACATTAATAACTCAAATTCACACATATAAAAAGTAATGTTCGATAAATACAGAGATATTTTACAGATGTGATAATCGCTACCTTATAATAGCGACAAACACGGGCTACATACGTGTAGTCCGGATGCCGTCTGAGCAGGAAGATAATCCGGAGTATCATTACACGACTTGGTTAATGGCGCAGCAGAAATTACTGAAGAAGTTGCAAGGACGACGTTTAGCGAAGGAGGAGGTATATCTAATGTTCCAAAAACTAATTCTATGTTAACACCATAGATAGATGAATGATTGGTCTCTTCGTTCGTGACGTCATTCGAGTTCATATTTTTTGGCTTCAATTTACTACTTGTTACTGACAAGTAGTAAACTGAAGCCAAAAAATATTCATCCACATAGGTAAATATCTTCATGGTGGTACAGAACACATAAAGTGCCCAGTGCAATAAAACAGTCATAGGTTTATTCTAGTATTTCAATTACATAGCGTGAAGCATTCACCTCGTCAGCCCTCGATCCGGAAACGGGAAGTGTTTGTGGGAAATCGCTACTAAACAGAACCACCCATCAAATGTTCGCTCCTGCGCATGTCCTGTAGGGTTCTGTCCACGGCCTCAACTGCCTTCCTATTGGTCATCGTACACTCATCCCATACGATCAGAGAGTAATCCCTGAGCACGTGTCCCTTATCACTGTTACGTAACACATCACAAACAGGTGTTGCGGCGCTCTCTAAATTGATAGGAATTTTAACATGGCATGTGCTGTCTTGCCACCCGGAAGCAGTGTGGCAGTGGTTCTCGACGACACACAGAGTGAGATTTTGGACGATTTGTGGTCACTTTATTTTAATATTTATTTTTATCAATTTTATTAAATTATGGATAGAAGTAAAACTCCCACAAATTTTAGCTAATGTAGTTTTGGAGATATTTAAGATCACGAGAAAAATCCATAAAAACCTTACAAACAGAATTTCATAATATATATGTATTTTTAAACATATTTATTTATTATGATTAGTTCAGATAATATTAAAGTACTATTCCTATTTAAAAAAAGTTGTAAATCATTATCCAATGCGAAGATAATGTATTTTTTCTTAAATACTGATTGATTTTTTTCTCTGTAGGTATTTAATATTAGCGATTGATTTTCACGTAAAAATGTTAAATTTAATTAGTACTGTCATGTATAAAAAATGGTATTGAAATTATGCATGACTTCGGAGATATATATTTTTTTAAATGTCAGTTAGGGTTGTCACCTATCTTTTCCATAGAATTCAATGTGTACTGAATACCATTTGTTTTACCTTTTAGCAATGAAAGGATTATGATCAGAATACGCAGCAGAACGGTCATGGCAGCGTTCCTTTGCTAAATATCTGATGAAGGAAATCATGTGGTATTGGGAAGGGTCCGCCCTCGTCAAGCATTTGCTAAAACCCAATACCCATACATGACGAATAATTCTCAGCTCAAATGAGGATCTCATTCATTCTGATGTAACGAATAGTAAATACGTTACACTGTGTGTCCTACGTCAAAATGTTTTTTTATGCACTTGGACTGTTCCCGAAGTTAGAATATACCTTAAAATACTTAAATATCAGACAACCACAAGTGCTTAGAAGCCTAAATAGAACATCCTACAAGTCGGTTAAAAAACTCCAAGTACAAGCATTTAGCCATAAACTCATCCAATTACGGCATTTTGGACTTCTTAGAATTACGAAATAATCTATTTTAAAATTAAAACGCATTTGACATACTAAAAAACAAAAAATATTTTTTTTTCCATAGAAATCAGAATAAAACTTAGAAATACTATAACTCCCAAGTCATTCTAAATAAGCGACTATAATTTTGATCAAGGAAAGGTAAATATGTATTTAAGCTAATACAGACATAAACAAACGCTAATATGGTCAAACAACAGCTTAATTAAAAAAAAACAACCATAAACATTATCTTTTAATAAAGAAAAGTTAGTATACCTAGCTTTTTATATGTTATGGGTACCATATTCACAGATCTGGAAAAAAAGCTGTAGATATTTTATCTATGATATTTTTCGAGTTAAAAATATAAATAAGTTTAACAAAGGTCATCGACCTCACATACGAAAAAATATTGCACGAAAATTAAACATGATAATCAACTGGGAGTTCCACAGGAAGATTAATTATGACCCAATGCACCGAATCATAATATAAAATAGAGGTGATCAAAATTCATCCAAAATCCCACACTGTGCGACGCTACAGCAATGGCAATTTTGCCTTGCCTCCTGATCTCTGCAAGTATGCCAGTGGTAACAAATGTTTTTCCTGTTCCACCAGGAGCATCCTAGAAAAACTTTTTACCCTGGTTTTGCCCAACGCTTTGATAGATGGAAGTGATAAACACCGAGCCATTTAGTGATACACTATTGCCTTATTATAACGCCACTATGATATTTGTTCTGAAAAGCATCGATGGATATGCAATTTTCTCTTAGTTACAAACAGTTAATTTAAAAAGAAATTGCGAATAGGCCGGCAGTTCACAGATGCTGGCGGCCAGAAGCGCCATTCGTTATGGTACCTATATTGTGCTATGGACGCTGACGCTACGAAAGACGTCTTATGATCTCATCTTACTGAAATCCTTTTAGAAAACACAAAAAAAGGTGTAAGATACCTATATTATCTAGTATTGCAAATAATTTGCAAGAATAACTATCGGTGCATAAAATGCATCAACATCCGCAAAAAGATAAATAAAAAAATTGTGTGTGTCAGCTCCGACGCACGACTGGAGTTTACTCCTTAAGTTCGATAGTCTAACCAGACGAAAAAAGAGTTTATTTAACTTAAAAAAGATTGATACTGTATGAAAGGGTAAATTAACAAATTAATGAAAATAATATACATATATAAATATATATATTTATTCATTTCATATACATTTATTATAACTAATCGACGAAATATTTTACATTAAACTTTTTACAATAGTCAATTTCAGATGTGTATAAATATATCATTAGGAATGTTGATAAATTATGTAATTATTATTATCAGACTATTATCATTTTTTAAAATATTAATTAAATCAACATTGTCTGCATTATTAATTACAGTGACAAGTGGTTTATGGTAACTAAAATTAACCACGTATCTACGAACGTACATGTGTCTTACATGTACGTACGTAGATACGTGGTTCACGAATCTTGAAAATACCGCATTAATGGTCGTACCATACCTCGTTGTCCCCATTGTTCTATCAGAAACAATGTCTAAATTCAGTTCAGATTTTAATTTTTTTATTAATGTCAATCCGTCACCTTTGTTTGTCAAAGTTGCGCGACATAGGATGCGCACCAAAAACGTAACGGGTCATTCATCGATAGATTTTACTCCTCACATTTTTCTCATATCGGGCCCCTTATATATGCAAATCGATTCTTAAGGAGTAAACTCCAAAAATAAATATTTCCAAAATTCACAAAAATTAGCCTAGCCCTAACATAAGCGCTGCTGGCTTGTGTTAGGGGATACTTGGGTAACGGATAGAATACATAAACTGATATAATAATGCTCAAAGGCTCTAGGAACAAGGATGAAAGGATGGTTAAAATAAACAAAAACTGATCCAAGTGAAACTACGTACGACCGCCCGCGACTTCATCCGCTTAAACTGTAGTTTGTTGAGAATCCCACAGGAACCTTACATTTTTTTGGGTAAAAAATGTCCCATGTCTCAATCCAGGTCTTAAACTATATGCCAGCCAAATTTCAACCAAATCCATTTAGTATTTTTTTGCGTGATTGAGTAACAAACATAGAAACTTTCACATTTTTAATATTAGTCTGATTTTTTTTTGTTTACAGCCTCAACCAACACCTCGCATAGATTTCCAAGACAATTATTATTTGCCAATGCACGACCGGTACACAGGGATTGTAACCTGCTTGGAATTCAGCTCTAACGGAAAGTAACTAAATCTATTTTTAGATAACTACCCAGAAAAAAATAATGTCATCAGAGGTCGTGTATAGTTAGTATGTATAATATAATATAAATATTTCCAACACTCACACCAATTAGCCTAGCCCCAAAGTAAGCACTGTAAGGCTTGTGTTATGGGATACTAGGGTAACGGATAAAATTCATATACTGTACATATATAAGTATATTTTATATAGAAATACATATTAAACATCCATGACTCGTATTCATCACACAAACATCTGCCCCCACCGGGATTCGAACCCGGGACCTCTCGAGTCGGCGTCACCATGAAACCCGGCGTACAAACCACTCGTCCACGGAGGTCGTATGTTTCTTTATTCCACCATACCATTCCACATATTTTGTGAAGTGTTGTTAGAATCCTTTCAACTTTTAGATTTATAAGTGCACAGGCGTCTCTAGCCCATGAAGCGCCCGTAAGCAAACATTGCCCTAGCACCCCCTAGTAAGCGCGCGGTCACAAAGTACAAGTAACAGCACATCAAGTTACCACATACTGTCAAATTTCCCCAATGGATAATAAACTGTATTGTTTGGGGATTTTGGAGAAGAAATTTGTTGGTTTTGAATTACATTTTTACGCTTTTTTTTTTTCTGGAGGTGTCGAAAAGGAAAGACGTTAAAAATTTGCTGATTTAATTTTTTGGATAAAATATTTACATATTTACAAACCGCATTTATATGATTAATTAAGCCACAATACCTCCCGGTGAGTGTCATTTATCACTTTATCACACCTGTACCTGTTTATTATGGAGGCAATGCAAGAATCCTTAGCCAAATTGCAAAACTTGTTCATGGATCGCATGGATTCATATCAAGCAGAACTTGCCGCAGCAGCTCCTTCGAGCACAATCACAACACTATCGGCGGACTTCGCGACATTTAAGTCCTTTATCATGGCCTCCTTGAAGTCTCCAGGATCAACTTGGTGTGCTCTCACAGCAGATTGACAGTTTGGATATGCGGGACCGCAGGAAGATGCTATTATTCCATGGAGTGCCTGAATTGCCAGAGGAAAACTGCACCTCCGTTTTGGTTGAGTCCATCTGTAATCAGCTAAAACTGTCAACATTCTCATCTAGATATATAGTTCGGTGTCATCGCATGGGCCGTGCTAGGGTTGGTAACCGTCCTCGCCCAATCCTTATGGAGTTACGATATCCGGAGGAAAAACACCAAATTTGGCTAAAAAAACTGCATTCAAAGGTTCCAGCATCACAGTTTCCGAGTTCTTGACCAAAACTCGTCACACAGCATTTATGGCAGCACGGGAGAGGTTTGGCATCACCAAGTGCTACACACAGATGGGTATTATATATATTATTGGACCTGATAAGAAAAGATACCGCATCACTTCCCTAAGCGAACTAGCCAGCGTTCCAGACCTAAGTATTCCAGTACCCGGGGATGACGTAGAAATTCCTGACGTAGGTAATCAAGACCTAGGTATTCCACAAACGGCGACCTCTCCAGGACCTCAGGTGCCAAATAGGTCGGCTGCAGTCGTGGAGCGAGCAGTATCAAAAACTCGGCGTGGGGCTGCATCGACCAGGAAGTGATGTAAATAACAACAAAAGTTATTTTAACTTGTAATCCATCCATTCCATTCCGTGCCGTTTATCAAATCTTGTCTTCTTCTTCAATTTTAGTGTTATTCTATTTATATCGTACGTTTAAATTGTTAATTTATTGTTATACATGTAGTCGTAATTATAATTTTTTAAGCCCTTTTTTTTGCAGACTACCCGAGTTATTGAACGTAATACATACGTTATTGAACATGACTTTTTTTTTTAATATCGTTTACTTTTATGGCTTTGGACTGGTGTGGAGTGGAAGTATTGGGTGACGATATCAGGTATTGTCACTTGATATTTTCACCTAATATTTTAAATTAGGTAATACTCATTGCCCTTAAATTATATGTTATTTTTATAATTAATATTCCTCTTATAGATACACTCTATCCGGTAGGTGGTTATTAATCATAATAAGTAGCTTTAATTTTTATTAATTAGAGTCATTTTGATTTTATTTATTTTATAATATCATATTATATTTTAGAGTGTACATAGTAATGTCTGATTCTTCTGATAGCAACGACTGTAGTTTTTTATCACTTTCCCCAAATAGCTCGTGTAGTAGTAATGATAGCTATTCTAGCCTGCCTTCGCTTGCTGATACTATTCAGGGTCACTTTTCTGATTCACCTAAGAATTTCAACGTAATTCACATTAATGCGCAAAGTATTCCGGCCCATTATACGGATTTGTTGGCGTCTTTTAATATTAACAAAAATCTTCAGGCTGTATTGGTATCGGAATCATGGCTAAAGCCGTGTTTACCTTCCTCTTCGTACGCTCTTCCCGGTTTTCGTCTCATACGGAATGATCGATTAGGTGCGGCTGGAGGTGAAGTTGCTATTTATCTTCGTGACCACATTCCTTTCTCTGTTCTCAGCACCTCCTCCCAACCGCCACCGTTAAACGCCGGAGAGCATTTACTGATTGAGGTTGAGTTGTCATACACCAAAATATTGCTTGGGGTGTATTATAGTCCATCGCTCCGTGTAAATTACTTTACTTCTTTTGAAAATCTTCTTGAAGATTTTATTCCTTCTTACAGCCATTCCATCATCATGGGTGATTTCAATACATGCCTGCTCAAGAATGACAGTCGCTCTTCTACTCTCAGTGCCATTATTAATTCTGCAAATTTGCACATTCTTCCGCTTGGTCCCACTCATCATTTTCCGAACTGTTCTCCTTCTCTTCTTGACCTTCTAATAGTTTCATCTCCTCAACATGTTGCAAAGCATGGTCAATGCCCAGCGGATGCCTTTTCTTATCACGACTTGGTGTTTTTATCATATAAAATCCGCCCTCCTAAAGCAAAACGTAAAGTTATTCTTCAGCGCAATTTTAGTGATTTGAAGCAGGGAGCTTTTCTTGAAGATGCGCGCGGTATTGACTGGTCTCCTATATACAATTCTGAAACCTTAGACGAACAGGTTGCAATTTTCAACAGTCTCATAATACAACTATACGACAAACATGCACCTTTTCGCTCTATCAAAATCAAACACCTTCCCGCGCCATGGCTTACCGAGGATATTAAAAAGTTGATTCACCACAAAGCTGCTGCCAAATGTAGATATAAGCAATATCCTAATGACAAAAATAAAGAAAAATACAATAAGGCTAGAAATCGCTGCAATACAGTGTGTAGGGACGCCATACGCCGTCATATTCATTCCTCTGTCGAAAATGAGGAGCCTGCGAAGGTTTGGAAGTTCCTCAGATTACTTGGCATTGGTAAAGCTCGTAAAGAGACTGTTCCAAATAATATCAATATTGACTCTCTCAATCTACACTTTTCTTCATCATCTGGAATTAGTAATACTAACAAAACTAAGACCATTAATTACCTTTCTTCATTACCATTGCCTGACGTTCCTCCATTTGTCTTTACTCGATTATCGGATTGTGATGTTAAAAGGAGCATTTTGTCAATCACCTCTAATGCTGTCGGTAGTGACGGAATTAGTCGCAATATGTTGATGCCGATCCTTGATTTCATTCTTCCAGTCATTTCCTTCATTTTTAATTGTTCCTTGACTGAGGGTGATTTCCCTTCCGCATGGAAAGACGCTCACATTATCCCTTTACCTAAAAAGCCTAATCCAACATCTGTCACCGAATTCCGTCCCATTTCTATACTTCCTTTCCTATCCAAGGCACTTGAGCGTCTTGTACATAACCAAGTAAGCTCATTTCTTTCCAAATATGATCTCCAAAACCCCTTTCAGTCCAGCTTCCGACCTGGGCATAGTACTGTTACCGCTCTTGTCAAAAACACTGATGATATTCGCCTGGGTATGGAACAGGGCCTCCTTACAGTACTTACATTATTAGATTTTAGTAATGCCTTTAATACAGTCAATTTTGACATTCTTTTAGCACTCCTTAGCTCTTTTAACATATCTCCAACGGTAATCGAGTGTTTGCACAATTATTTGTATGGACGCAGGCAGCGGTTGCGCTTGGATGAGAAATTCTCATCTTGGTGCGTGACTGCTGCTGGCGTACCACAAGGCGTCGTCTTATCTCCTCTTTTATTTTCCGTGTTAATTAACTCCATTTCTCAAAACCTTTCATCGTCCTACCACTTGTACGCAGATGACCTCCAGTTGTATTGCCAAGCGTCCGTTTCTCAATTGAATGACGCAATATCAACTATCTCTTTAGATTTAGAACGTATCGCTGACTGGTGTAAATCTTTCGGTCTTATAGTAAATCCTGCAAAATCACAGGCTATCGTAGTCGGTAGTTCCAAAATGATGGCAAAGGTTACCCTAAACCTTCTCCCTATGGTCAACTTTGCTGGAATTAATATTCCGTATAGTTTATCTGTTAAAAATTTAGGTGTGACCATCGACAATACTTTAAGTTGGGGTCCACAGCTGCAGTCGGTAAGTCGCAAGCTATATGCGTTAGCGGCGTCTCTCAGAAGACTGCGCAACTTTCTTCCTACAGCCACTAAAATTGCGCTAGCACAATCTCTGTTGCTTCCTTTACTAGACTACGCCGACTCCTGCTATTTGGATTTAACGGAGGAACAGCTAAATAAACTTGAGCGACTCCAAAACTTCTGTATCAGATTTATATTTGGCTTGCGCAAATATGATCACGTTTCCAATTTTCGCTCTAAGCTCAAGTGGCTTCCCATTAGGCTTCGCCGGAATACTCACATACTAGCACTTCTTTACAATATTTTGTTTAATCCCTTCTCCCCGCGCTATCTCAAGGAACTTTTTGAGTTTCAAAATTCCCTATCGCTTACCCTTAGGTCATCAGAAAATCTGACCCTTACAATGCCTGTTCACCGCACCAGCTATCATGACCATTCTTTTGCTGTACAAGCTGTTCGGCTTTGGAACTCGTTACCTACTAATATCAGACGCGCTCAGTCTTTGAATATATTGAAAGACCAGCTCAAAAATTTCTATCTTTCGCAGTGAATCTGATTTTACTGTGTAAACTTTTATCGTATATATGCTGTTATGTAGCTGTTTATGTATGTATGTGTATGTATATATGTGTAAGTATGTTTATATGTTAATAAATGCATATGTATATGTATGTGTATATATATGTATGTGTATGTATGTATATATATTTATATGTCTAATTAGGATACTTAGTTTGGTGTAGATTGTATGTATGGATGTGACTATTTATTCCAAGCCATATAACACCCCTATGGTCTCTGTATAACTTTTCATACTCAGTGGTTGTCTGGAAGAAATCGCTCTTAGCGATAAGACCGCCAATTATAACGCTTTTGTTAATATTATTGTTTGTGAATGTTATGTAATTATGTATTTGGTGTTATAATAAAGTGTTAATCAATCAATCAATCAAATATAAGACAATCCATTGCGCCAAGGCTTATTTCGCAAAATTACGAACTACGAACGAAGTCTTATTAACTCATCTTATTGAAATCCTTTTATAAAACGCAAAAAGGTAGTAACTACAAAAGCTATGAGGTACCTTTATATATTATCTAGTATTGCAAACAATTTGCAAGAATAGATAAGGATGGATGCATGAAATCAATCAAAATCGGCAAAAAGATAAATTAATAATTAAATATTTCCAACACTCGCACCAATTAGACTAGCCCGCAAGTAAGCACTGTAGGCATTTTTTTCTAGTTATATTTTCTTTATATTTAGGTAAACATCAAGCAGTTACATACTTAAAAAATCAAATTTATAACTGTAGGCTTGTGTTTTGGGATAACCTACTTTATTTAAACCAATTTGTACTAACTAAAAATCTAAAATATGTAAAGATATTTCAATAAAAAATATTCTTTAGGTACTTCTACACTTGTGGTGCTGATGGAAACATTTTCTCTTACGCTATCAACTTCGAAGAACCTCTATTGATTTCGCCATCTCTCCCACCGGTCACTGCATTACCCGTAAGAAATTTTACTACTTCCTAAGACTTTCTGAATCAGTGATTTTCTTACACAGCCTTACTTACTATTTATCTTACAATCAGTGTTTCCTAAGACAGTCTTTTTTTAGAAAGTGGAAAAAGTTAAGGAAGTTAGTACTCTGGACGAGGAGTTGATGTCACACGAACAGCTAAAACAAAAAGAGGAGTACGATAAGATGATGGCTATAGCCAACGCCCATAAGAAGCGTGTGCGCGATCAACTAGCAGAACTTACCACTGAATATAACAAGCTTATCAAAGCGTATGTATATTATTATCTGCAACGGTCTTACGACTAAGTGATCTATGACCAAACCCAGATGCCTCGGTGCTTCTGAGCATCTAATTTAAAAAGAGTTTAAGTTTACATTGTTATGAGATCTTTACTTAAAACAATTTTTCCTATACTCCTAACACTAATTATGTTTTACGTCTAAACAGGAACCGCAATCTGCCAGTATCCCAACAAATCAATGTGACTTTAGATCATAGACCACTCGCAGTTCAAGAAGCTGAATTGGACGAAGCCAAAGCTTTAACAAAAAGGAAATTAGCGCACCAACTAGAAGCATCGGATTTAGCTTTTCACAAAATGTACTCCAGAAACATTATTCAATTGGACGTCTTTCCATTCACTTTAAAAGCCATCAGGTATAATAAGTACATAATTAACAACCCCTTAATTTGAATAAGTATCCAAACATTTTGAAACTTTTTTTCTGAAATGTGATAAACTTCCTTCTGAGGGAATATAAATTTTTAGAGATCCGGAGGTAATGATAAGGCCTCTGCGCCAGAAGAACCTCTCCAAAGACTTCTTTGATCAACTCGAAGAAGTCCATGAGAAAATGGCAGAAGCAGCCCTACGAGGAAGGTGAGCACAGTTTTATTTATCCACAATTTTATTACATTATTATAAAGGGATATCGAAGATGCGTGGATACTGACATATCTTTATTCTCTTATCAAGTAATAAATTAAGCTGTTACTCATAAGTGTACATTTCATAAAGTTACCTATCCTGGGCTATCTTAGTTGAAAAGAACTTGAGTACTTTATATTCTCCGATGTTATAGTGTGTTCAAACACACACACAAACAGCCTAAATAAACGCCGAAAATTATTCAATCTATTGAAATGTCTGATTTCATGCTAACCATAGAGATATGAATTTACTGGAACTAGCTGAGATAGAATTGAAGTAAGTATACATAAAATTGTCGAATTGCATAAACCACTTTGTTGATACTAGTAAGATTTTCTATTCCACTGCTGCTTACCCAATAAGTGTTTTACGCTAATTATTTCATGATTATTTTAATCTTATGCTAAATTTGACTGCAGTCTCTCCATTTAATTCTATATTCATGATAAGAATAGACCAACGTCAAGTTTAGTTTTAAGTTTAGAGAATCATGCCAGAATTAGGTCCTTCGACGCGCTTACTGTTATTCAATCGCCTAACTTCAATTTGAAAGATTCTTTATCATGACAGACGAGCGGAATCCACAACCCGTCGGACAGCATTGCGCAAAACGTCATTCGGTCCACCGCGTGTAGCTTCTTTCCTGCTGGGTCTTCCCCCTAATCCACCACACCCCCTAAAGAAAGCATTAAGGAACTACCACCAACGTCTTAACAGACACCATCAACAATTCATCGAGGTATTACTAATTTAGGATTTCATACATTTAATTCATCATTCACATCATTTTATAATTTTGTAAACATACGCATTACTTATTATTTGCATTAAACGCAAGACATAATATAATACTACTAAAAATGAATAACAACTCAATAGCTGTCTGGAGAAATACTATAAATCATAATAAACAATTATAATGGTAACTATTTCAGAAAGCTAACTGCCTACTGCGGCTGATGTTGTATTATTTTTCCTCTTGTTTATCAGCTCATTAATACGTCGGACGTACTAAAAACTTCCGGAATCAATAAAACAATGGTATTTAATATTTTACTTACTAGTTAATTATTTATATTTTAGTGGCAAGAGCATCTGTCCTTGAAACCTGATCCCAACGCAATGCCTCCCGGTGCAGTTGAAGCCCTGAAGGAAGCGGAAGCAACGATTGGCAACCGGCTTCTGAAAACACAGCCTGATTATGTAGCACCTCCAGGCCATAACACGCAATTGCGTGTCTGTCTTGCTAGAAAAGAGGTTTCTGAAATTTTACTTTCTCGTCAAAACGCTATGTACATACATGTTTTTATTCTTAAAGAAGAGTAAACCAGGAAGATAATTATTGTCTAACTTCAGTACCTATCAATTTCATATTTGAATTAAATTCCCAAACTTTGACTTTAACTAATCAAACTTCGGAATTTGTCCTGGATATTATCAATATAACACAATCAAGTTGTTTATATTATTTTAGATTTATGATAATAAAAGATTATTCAACGTGAAAGTGCTTGAGCTTCGTGATCATAAAGTACGTTTGGTAGACCAAATGAAAAAAATTGGCGAACGATTGAATGAGATTCGCTGCGAAATACCGCCAAAAATGGCTAAGACACCACCGGCGATACCACATATCGATGACGATCTGGAGTTCCCAGAAAGGAATCTGGAAGTAAGTAAACCCTATAATATTTTGGTCATGTTAGTAATTCATATTTTAAACTCCGGCAAAGTCAGATTTAGCTGAGATGCTCTGTACCTTAGTATCGAAACCATCATAAGAAAGGTACAGTTTTATACAATACTAGCGGACCCGACAGATGTTGCCATGTCTATAATTCAAGATTATAATGAATGCAATAGGACTGTGTTTTCTATTATAAAATAACAATCCTGAAATAAAATAAAGATTATGTAAAATCCAAAAATACAGGTTAAACCGGAAAAAGTACAATTGCCACTAAGAGGACCAACGTCAAAAAGGTTATCAGCAGCAGATCCTAGGAAAGCCCCACTTTACCCTCAGCCCAGAATAAGACAACCCAAAGTACCAAGATTTGTTCCTCTAGCCGGTAATAAAAACATAGTTTCTAACGTAGAACTTTTGCATCTGATATCTTGAAGGAGTAATAATACAGTTATTTGATTGATATCTGTCATATACTATAGAATCGCGACCACTTGCCGCTACCTGGGAAATTTTGAAACATAGACAAGACCAGGAATCGACACCCATGGAGATAGAAATAAGAGAAAGACGTATTGAAAGGTAGATTAGATTTATTATGGGTGTTTTTTATGATTTTGACAAACAAGAATAATGAAATAAAAAAAAATGTTTTGCTAATTTAATCATGACTTAATCACAATTACTATTTTCGTCATATAAAATAAATTTAATTACAAAATGCGTCAAATAATGCTGTTTATTTTATTGTAAGCACTAATTTACCATTTATTGTAATTTAAAAAATCTTGGAAATAGTATGTTTTTATTAATATTGTGGTAGTTTACAGACTGTCTGTAGATATACACTTTGTTTCTAGACATTTGTATGAGCAGAACATATTAATTGGTGATGCTGAAATAGCTGTTCAAAAATTCGATTCACGTTTAAAACAATTGCAACGAGAACGCATACGCGTACAAGTAAGTATATTTTTAATAAATATAATTGTATTACTAATTTGTTATTGTAGGAACAGAAAACGTTATCAATGGATTTTTAATAGGATGTTGGTGTGTCGTGTTCCCATTTTCCAAACACTACTCAAAAATAGGAACTCTAAAAAAATTTATACCTGAAGTGGAAAAAAATCACCACAGTAACAAATGTTTTAACATAAAACGGATCAAATACTTTTTAGACACCCGACGTCTCGCCATTTCCTATCCTAAATACTAATATATTTCAACATCACAGGGTTGAAATTACAATAGGTACCGTATACGTTAATAAGAAAGAGATAAGAAAAATTTAGTTTTGTGACTCCTTGATAAGACACGCCCCACCAAACCATCACTGACGCAAGATGATGACCACGTTGTACTTTTCCGACCACTTGAACAGCTTCTTTAGAACTGTGAGCGTGCACTTTATCATTTTGCTTATTGTAGTGTTCTTCGATCGTGAAAAACTTTTCATCGGTAAAGAGGATATTTCTTTGCTTTTCACTTGCTTATCGCGACAGAAGGCGTTCATCGAAACGAATCCACTCTCTTTAATAGGGAAGATGCAATATTTTATTTTTGTTTTCATTTTAAAGAATCCCATGTAGAATATACCACAGATATATTAAAAAATTAAAACATTGTAATTTATAGGAAAAATAGCGGTTTTAAATTGACAGTTTAAATTTTCGCGCGAAAACGGACCTATGGTTCCGATAACGTCACTCCTGTCTGTCACTGGTTCGTCGCTGGCTTTCAATTTTCATACTTTTGCATATTTTTTCGACTTTCGAGATATTTTTTTGTAAAAATTTAAAATGGACTATCCATCAACATCAGGTGATCATGACAATACCACTAATATTCCGAAAAAAAGCCATGTTGACTCATGTTTTATGCCAATGTGTCCATCTACTTCAACAAAATTTCCAAATAAATTATTTTTGACTTTTGATTGAATTAATTTGATTGACCCAAAACTGAGAAAAAAGTGGTTTCAAGCTGCGAAGAGAAATGACAATTATTCTCCAAAGACCATTATTTGATGCTGTGAAGATCACTTTGACGTAAGTCGGCGAATATACAATTTCCAAATAAATTATTTTTGACTTTTGATTGAATTAATTTGATTGACCCAAAACTGAGAAAAAGTGGTTTCAAGCTGCGAAGAGAAATGACAATTATTCTCCAAAGACCATTATTTGATGCTGTGAAGATCACTTTGACGTAAGTCGGCGAATATACTTGTTATATTATGCTTAATTTATCTCCTTGTACGTAAAAACGCGTTAGTAACCTACCTAATACTTACAAAACTTGTCTATAACATATTTCTAATTTTACAGTTGGAGACGACGTCGAAAATAGGATAAAGTTTAAAATGTGTGGCACACTCTACACATTGGCAGGACAGAACCAAGCTTTGCGTTTCATTTAAAATAACTGTAACACGATAACCTTCTTTACGTACTTTATGCTCCGGAGTAACTCGACTTTTTACTGTACATAATTCTCCATCTCTTTTAATTTGGACATAGCCAATTGCGTTATCGCCGTAAGATTCTATTGTTGAGCTGAAATAACTGCTATGTGTAGAAGCCGCTGAATAAAATACAAAGTTTAACAACTATGATTTATACATACCGTAGTAATTTAGTCCCTTTCATTTCTACACTTGAAAACTCTGCACTTTGGAAAAAAAAGTTACAACCATGGCAACACTAACTCTTGGTAAATTCCTGGAGTCTGCTTTAATAAACCCAACTTCCATTTTTATCAAAAAAACGCAATTAATATTCCCATAAAATAATATTCACTTTTACAACCATAACCTCAAATAAGTTATCATAACAGGAGTGACGTCACTAAACGCTGAATACACTGATTGGTGTTTTAAAATACGTTTTTTTCAAGTAATTTTTAATTCGTAATTATTGTTAAAAAACAACATTATGTAAAATAAAAACGTTGCAGTAGCCTTTCTTTTATATTTTTTAACATTTTAATCATACAATTTTCATAAATATTATATTTGCATCTTCCCTATTGTAAATATTGATTTAGGGCATGTCCTGTATATCTACTATAAGCACCGAGCTTCAGGTCTTGTTTTATAATACGCGACAGAGTCCCAACAGGAATCTTCATTTCTCGCGATAAGATTTTTTTCTTCCTAACGGGGTTTCGACGAATTCTGGCTTTAACAGCATTAACACAGCATCTCTGCAATCCTATTTTCTTCAACACCCCCATTCCATAGTGTAATTTGATAATGAACCCGAAAAATATGTGAAATGGCGCAAAATCTATGGAAGTTTTTAAAATAATATACGTGTTCCAAATTCAAAATAATTAAAAAGTTGAAAAAAAGAAAATATTTTATGTAATATGCTGGACCCAAATTTATGGCCAAACTAGTTTAATGAAAAAACATCTCAACCAATAAAAAAAACATTTTTTTTTTATTCATGTTGCAGTCCTTTTACAACAGATATATCAATACATTTTTACCGGTAAAACGGTTAAGTATAGCATTTTTGCTGCAAGAATTCATTCTTTTGGGGCACAACTTTTTTAGGTACTATCGCGGAATTTTGCGCTCTGTCACTTGGCGAACAAAATGCTTTGAACGGTTTTTTACAGTAGCTTTTACTATGCCCCGCCTTCGCGGACGCGCCAATCCGGGCCGCCGCACAAAGTAAGACAGAGAGCATTTCATTGATTGAATAATGAATTGAATTGCATTTGTTTTAGTTGCAATTTGTCATCCGCATCGTGATCGCGACAGCGCTATACGAAAAAGTAAGACAGCGATAATTACATGTCTATGAATGAATTTTTACTACGCCGCTACCGCAAGCGATTATGGCATTATGGGTGACAGAGCGGGTCTTTCCGCGAGTGTACCTTCCGGTACGAAATTTTAGTGGATTCAAAAATATAGCCTCTTACAATTATATTTCAGTCACTTCATTCTTCAGATATAACCATACAATGTAGTCCTTTTATCGTACAGGCAACATTACTCGAATGAAGTGAATTCATATAATAGTGTCGTGTGAGGCGGGTCGTTGCGTTCCCTACAATATGGTTGAGCGAAACGATGGCTGGTTCATGCGTCATGCTCGTGAACGGGTGCTGCCAGCGGAGATGAGTCTGCTCTATACTACTTTATTATTATTATAATGATAATTAATTATTTAAGTTAAATTTTATTTGTAATTGTATTTATACTGTATGGCACAGCAATCAAAAACAAAAAATTTAGGTGAACATTTATTATTTCTGAGATAAAGATTTAATGGTGGTGTTGATTCTGGCATGGTTCTCTAGACCTGAACTTTGGTTTTGCAGCGGTGTATCCATGTCATTCTCTATACAGAGTGAAGGGGGGGCACTGATGTTGGGTTTGGTTTTGGGTTTGGAGGGTAGTGGCAGAGTCGACACTAGTGTTTAGGTAACCACATGCATGTGTCCTACAGTTGTGTTTATAGTTTTTTATAGTAATGTACACTGGTACTTAATTTTTTTTCCCCTATTTTGCTATCTAGTATCCATATGTGGTTATGGGTAGTCATACTCTCTTAAAAATCTCTTCGGCGGTGTCGTGTGAGGCGGGTCGTTACGTTCCCTAAAAAATGGTTGAGCGAAGCGATGGCTGGTTCATGCGTCATGCTCGTGAACGGGTGCTGCCAGCGGAGATGAGTCTGCTCTTGCTACATTGGGTACTATTAATCGTTGTATTTAACTTTAATGGTACATTTGTTTTTATGCCTAAACAGTGGGACACGGCATTCCTAAACTTTTTTTCATTTTTAAATTTGTTTTTTATATTTTTTATTTTATAGTCATAATTGTTTTATCATTTACATTTGTAATGGAAAGTGACTTCATGGGTTATCTCATATTGAACTCATTTTTCAAATTGACGACTCTGTATATAATACAGGGAGAAAAAAACAGCCCTTGCTGAGTTTCTTGCCGGTTCTTCTCAGTACAAGGTCTCCCGCCGTAGATTTGCGAACCGATGGCGTAGCTTTTCGACATTCACAAGTGCTTGTAACAGCCTAGACTGAATAAACGATATTGAATTTTTATTGAATTTTTTGAGTGATCGAACTTCACAGTGAAGTTCGTTTGATCATCTATTACAGACCAGTAGCAAAAATTTTGTCTGATATTGTTTTTTTTTCAAATATATCGTATTTAATGCTACCTTTTTTTAACGATGAGAAATCCCTTGACGGACCGTACCGTGCGCTGGCGAAGCGCACGGCGTGTGTGGGACCCACCCGGCGCGGGATACAGTGCCGGTCCTACCCACTAAAACTCACCGGTACCCTCTTACGGCCATGTGGAAGCGTCTCGGGATCGGCGCACCTCTATGTGCGCAATTTCACCGGGACAGTTTAATGCTACCTAGGATTAAAAGTTAAAAAAAAGTCTTGTGTACAAAATAAAATTCATTTGGCTGTTTTTTTTGTATCTAAAACCTTATTCCAAATATAACAATATTAGTACGTATACTTAGTTCTATTTTTACTAAGTGGAAAAATTGATAACGTAAATCGGTCTCGCATTTTAAAATAAACTGTTATATCCTAAAACGTAATAAAATCACTTTCATTACATTCTAATAATTCATGCAACAAAAGTAACTGTAAAAAGTAGAAGTAGTAAAGGACAATGGCGAAATATTTGTTGAAGTAAATCTTTAGCGTCTATAGATATCATTATCAGAAATGTTAATAAAATAATCTCAAAAGATTTATTAAGCGTTTGAGGATGGCTGTCTAAGTCTGGAACAAAAACTTAAAAAAGGGAAACACAATCGACTATTTTTTTTATTATGGCTTGCCATCATGGCTTTTGAGCCATTTATTTTAAGTGATTTTAGTATTGAAATCAACTTTAAATATGTTGTTCGTATGTTTTGCATTACTTACGCTTACGTTTAATTATCTATCAAAATTATCGAGAAACATTATTTTTAATATTATACTGAAACCATAATAAATTATCTCCACAATACAAAAAGAGTAAAATCCTAACGCAAAAAACTATAACTGTTTTTTTGGCGGGATTTCATCGAGTGCGGTTGGCGTCTTATTTTAATTATTCTTAAATTCGTTCATAGTGGATATTGTGAAATAAAAATGGTGCGGTTTTATGTAACAACCGTCTGCGTAACTGAAGAATTAGTGGAATAGTTAAAATATACGCCATTCCGGTCAAGTGGACGTGAGAATTTTATCTTGTCATCGAATTGTTGTTGTAACATTGCTTGTGCAAGTGCATGCGTATTGCAAATATTTAAATCGGCGTTTTATGTTTTTTCTGAGATTTGTTATTTTATGTGACTTGAACTGCATTTGGACTTTCGAAATCTTTCCCTGCGACTCTTGAGTAGTGCTTGCCTAAGATTTTCGAATCGGATATTTTGGACGACTTCTTACTGTGGATTTTGGACACGATTCTGTCCCATGCTGTGGATTTTATTTCATTGTATCTACTATCTACCAATATATATTTAAAACTGTTTCATATTTAATTATTATCCCATTAGCACACTATTAGAAATCCTTTTTACCCGACTGCGCAATGCAAGAGCGCGAAGCGCGACGCGCAGACAGGGTAAAGTGTTTAACAGTCTATATATGTATGTTTGTTCCTTTGTGGCACACTAGAGACCAAACGGCTGGAACGATTTTGATGATTCATACATCAATCGATTCGTCTCAATCATGGGAGTGCTACTAAAGATATGATAGTAATCAAAATTCAATATGGGCAAAATTAGGCGCCATATTGTGACGAAGTAAAAAAAATAAGTTGACAAAATATGTCGAGTGGGGTATCACTGTCTAGATAATCGAAAATCATGTTTAGGTTCCTAACACTATTTTTTATTTTATATGATTGTTTAGGACCTACAACGCTTTAAAGTTCTATATTAACCACTTCCACTTTTAATTTCAATCTTACGTTTGTATGGATCTTTGTTACTCTTTCACCTAAAAAATACTGAATGGATTTTAATGAAACTTAACAGAAATATAGCTCATATATGATAATAACATATATATAATAATTTATGTAGTTATTGAGTGAATTGACCAAAATATAACAATAAGTGTCACATAAGAGGGAAAAAAAATCTCCCATCTGCGAGCCATTTTGGCTTGCACTGCAAAACCAATAAAAGTTACATGAATGTAATGTAGAGTGAAAATGTATCTCGAAATAGTTCTAAAAAAAAGTCCGTGACACCATATATCTATTTTTAATGTGTAAGCCATTACCGCTAAAATAGTGAATCAAAACTAAAATATTATTTGATATCTATTTCCAAAATGCACATTTTGTTATTTTTTATCAAAACAAATACTTTTATCGCTTTTGATATTTAAAGACGATAAACTTTGCCTTTTACACTATGACATTTCGACAAATATTTAAAAAGTTACAACGATGACAAAGTGATAGCGCGGTGAACTATGTAGAAGTACTAAGAGACTGCGGGAATACTAAGAGAATAAATTTAATTTAGGTGTTTATAAACGTGGATAAAACCTAGGCGAAAAAGAAAAAAATAGGCTACTCGCAGTATCTAATCCTATACGAAGTACAAACAATAAAACTGTGAAACAGTTCCTTCTTATTAAATGATGAATAATAAATTATCATAATAGGTATTTATGATTATTGAATTTTAATGAAAAACTCAGAAATATACTGTTTTTAGTTTTTTTAACAATAATACTTAATGTTACAATAAAGGTTTACTTAACATAATGACAAATAAAATAACCCATTTTTCGCTAGTAAGTACATACTTATTGGAATCCCTGTATTTATTAATCAGCTCGTGATGATATTGGTTTTGTAATTTATAAGCGATAATTCTGCAAAATTCAAAGTAAATAATATAGATTTTTATAGGTAAATCACCCCTTTCATCACCCACGCCTATAAGTATTGCGATGTTGTAACTAAGAACCAAGTTCCCATCTACTTCTATAGGGGAATTCATTATAATCGATTTAGCTATAAGGGCACGGAAGCGCAACAAACAAACTCACTTTCGCATCTATAATATTATACCTACTATACTTACTAGTGATCGACCCGGGCATTGCACGGGAGAAATTTATTTTATCGGGATAAAATATAGCCTATGTCACTCGGAGAAAAATGAATTTCAATAAAGAAAAATGTAATAATAAATAATGTAGCACCTTACGATGATTTAATATTTGAAGCCGGTTCAGTAGTTTGACAGATTATTTGTTACAAACATACAAATCTTCCCTCTTTATGATATTAGTATAGATAGTTAGGATAATAGTATTTAATTGATGAAAAAGATTTAAAAATAAATTAAGTAATAGGTTTATTTGATTATATTTGTAAAAGTTACTTAGCATTTGTGCTTCAGTGATACGTTCTTCGGTATTTTTTTATACAAAAAAAAATATTTGTAAAAAATTTGGCATGATTTCACTATTTGCAATACCTACTAGGCTGGTAGCAGCACGCTTGATAGGTGGAAGTACCCTTAATTCAAGCTTTACACTACCAATAAAAAAGGGTCGATCACAGAGTCCTTGACCTGTTATTTAAGAACGTTTTAAAAGAAAACTACAAAGAGATCTATAAATTGATAATAAATGAGATTGCTTTGCTTTGGTGATTGCACAATTAAGTATTTAATTTAGCTATCTAAGGCAGTTGCCACCATTGTCTAAAACAACAGACGGGAATTACTGCTTTCTTCAACCTGCGACATAAACGTCATTGATTGGTATTGTATATAGGGTGATTAACATTTGAAATTAATTTCTGGCATCTACATATTGGGTTTCTGTGAATTGTGAAGGTAATACCTACTAGGTATATCAAATTATGAGACTAGGATATGACACTGCATTTGTGTATATGACAATCTTAGAGCCGGACGTTGACATGACAATGCAGCACAGCCAATTTTAAATAGTCGACGAATAAAAGAAAATGAATTTTATATTTACTGCTAAACTACTAAAAAGAACATAAACAAAAGATGACTTTTTGAATAAGTGCTAGTTTACTATAAAATTTACATTCATTAGATATTTATGTAACGACTTGATTTAACTTCACACATTTTTGCGAAAATTGAGGCCCATCTGTAGCCTTGACCCCGCTGGTAAAGTCTCTATATGTCTTAATAAATCAATCTTTTAAACCACCGCAAGGTACTTAATAATTCCCGCGATATTAATTCCCTTACTGAACTAACAAGACTACGGTATATACCGTCTTAAAATATTAACTAACTAAAAAGTGTAAAATAAAAAACGTAAATTTAAAAAATCAAAAAACCCGACTGCTTAATTATACTTAAAAAAAACTGAAAAGAAAAAAACAAGTCCAGTAGTCTATAATTCTGTTAAAAAGGATCAAAGCTACTTTAACAGTCGGGACCCATTAGATATTCAAGAATACATAATATTTTTCAACAATGGGTACCGACTGTTAAAGTAGCTTTGTTCCTTATTAACAGAATTATAGACTACTGGACTTGTTTTTTTCTTTTCAGTTTTTTTTAAGTATAATTTATACTTTATTATTGCTGTGGGCATTTTCAAACTGTTAAGTACTTTTTACAGCACAGACATTGTATTCTAACTCAATAACCCGTATTGTCTGTTAAGTATTATTAAGTATTTTGACGTGCTTGGTCAGTACCTGCGCCCACTTATCAAAGATTATAAAAATCATTTTTTTTCGTCACTAATCTACGGGACCGGTATACATCTATAGTTCCATTCCACGTATTTTTTATTTTGATATAAAAATACTCTTGAAAATACTTTTATAATTCGTTTTTGTATTACTTGGTATGACATAACCTCCAAAATTTCAAAGTAGAATATCTATAAATCCAGACTTCCTATAATAAAAGAAATAAGACGAATCAAATCGAGAATCTACACTCTATAATTTAACATGCAATTCATTTATAGACGCAAAAAAAATTCAACAAAAATTTGTATGGGAGTTTGCCGTTGTCCTTTCCAGCATATATTTAAATCAATACCAGATACGTGTTGACGTAATGCCTACCTATGGACAAAATGCCTGTTGGATGAAATGCGAGTTAGAAAAAATATATCTTGGACGAAATGCGAGTTGAACAAAACATAAGTTGCACAAAATGCATCCTGGACGAAATATGCGTTGGACAAAATTAGGATTTTAAAACCAATTGGACGAACTGCGTATTGGACAAAATTGGAAAGGCTAATAAATCTGACTGATGTCGGTTTATTTATTATTATATTTTTTACTAACGCTTTTTACCTTGTGTTATCCAGGAAAAGAATTTATTATTAGAACTTCATCTCTACCAATTGCATAGAGAAATGAACGTCTTGAATCGATTTGAAGCTCATGAAGATAGACTGGCTGAACGAGTATATGCAAAACTAATGCAAGTACGTCTACATTTTTACTTATTATTATAAGTTAAAAATTATTTTTATCTGCTAATTATGAAATACCTACCTACTTATTGCGAAAAGGTAATAAAAAACAAGTTCAAGGAGTTATTCCTTGCTTGAATATTTCTGGAAACGATCATTTTTTCTGATATACATTTAGAACTTGAGAGTAATTAATTTAACGTTAGCAAAAGAATATCTATTATAAATATAAAAATGAAACGAAAGTCAACAAACATAAATGAGCCACTTGAAAGTCCACCACAACTTATGGCTACTTGTTATACCCAGAAGTACTTGATGCTCGCAATTTGCCAACCCTGACATGACATCATTCCTATACTGATTGGAACTTTAGCAACATTGCTTACTCCAGGAAAACTTTTACTTAGCCTCAGTCATCAATCAATCAATCAATAGAATTGTATGATATTTTGTTGATGTAGTCCCAAATATATTTGAAGACAGTCTTAACCACGTTTTCCGGTAGTCATAATAATTATTAAAATATAGTCACGTTATTTACTTTACCTTTAGCATACACCTTTACTAACCAAGCCCGTCTCAAACATACATTATGTATATTTTTACTTCTTTTTATACACAAGGTGCGTAGCGTTCAAGAACAAATCACTGATTGTGAACACCGCATCGAGGAGCACCGTGGTGAAAAGGATACCCTTGATCTCTCCTGCCAAGAGCTACAGCGCCAATTTAAAAAACTTGTACAAGACAATAAGTTTGCTGATTTCCTGCGTCGCATATTCAAAAAGAAATACCGCCCACCACGAGAACACCACGATGATGGTAAAGGAATTTCATGACGGTTCCATGCATTTTTTTTATTCCTACTAATATTACAAATGTGATAGATGGATCTTTGTTACAAATGGCTGGACATATTTTTTTAGGAAATTTGATTACTATACGATTCTTTTTATACAATCATTTTTAGCTTACTCTTGAGTTAAGCCGCTCGTAAATAGTTCGCTGTTTCAACTTTGTGATTGTATTCAAGGACTAAATAGCTGAAGTCATGATCATTTAGGGTTCCGTTCGTAAACAAAAGGTGACAGATAGATAGAGGAATGTCAGTCTGTCAGTGCAACGGGCTGTGGGTATCTTATGTTTACTATAAAAGCTAGAGATTTCAAACTTTCATAGATTGTGAACTTTAATTGCCGCTATAACAACAAACACGTAAAAGTAAAATAAAGTATGTCACCATATAGGTATGTAACATTTCTGCCTTGCATTTAGTCGGTTTTTATCTTCTATATTTATGTCTCCTTTATGTATATTATGTACAACTATTCTAATAGAATCTTCGGAAGAAGAATCGTCATCTTCATCCAGCGAAGAAGAGGAAGAAGGAAGCATTGACAGTCGGGACATTGGACCCATTCGGCTGGACCCAAATGTTTGTCCGGAAACCTGTGACCCAGAAATTTATAATAAAACTTACGAACTGAGAAATACAAGGTAGCTTCAGACTTCTTTTTATAAAAAGTACTTATATTGGAGTACTTAAGCCGTTTTATTAGGACTTTTCTACTTGTTTTCGGCATTTTCTACTTGTTTCTTCTAGACACCATCATGAACAGCAAATGCTTGAACAAGATCGTCTGGTGGAACTATTAAAGAAAGACATCGACGCCCATAATAAGGTTAAGCGCAAACTTTCTGTACAATTAGAGCAGAGGAAGAACGAACTGAGAGAATTTATGGTTAGTAGCGGTATGTTTCTTAGTACATAATATGTAATAGGCATATGCGAGCATAATCATAGTCTTATCGCATGTTCAATAAACAAAATATTAAAATTAAAACTGAAAACTAACTAGCGCAATGAGTTTATTCATTCTATGAATCTGTTCTGTACCTACTTAAATAATAAGATTGATATACCGCATTTTTTTCTGACTTTTAGATGGAAAAACAAAGCTGTATGAATGGCGTGACACAAGTGGTAGTTCTGCGCTATGATCAAATTCGAGCATCCGCCATACGTGGATGCACTGGCCCTGACGGGCTGTCTAAAACTGTTGTGTTTCCCGAGCAAATGCTTGCTCGATTGCGTCGACGTGTGCTTGAGTTGCAAGATGAAATCAAACAGCAAAAGCAGAGGCAAAAGTGAGTTTCCCGCAGGTATCTGCATTATAATTTAAAAATAATAAAGGATGGAGGAGGAGCAATTTGGCACCACTTCAATCTGAAAAAGAAATGCAACTAAAACAAAATGAAATATGAACATCTTAACATTACACTTAACCGCGGATTTCACTGAAAGTGTATATGCAAATATTATAGTCTTACACCGAAGTGAAGCGAGGTTGAGCCACTAGTATATTATTTGCCCAGGTTTTCCGCGGATAGTATCTTAGCAGTAAGAATTATTAAAATTACTTATTCTTAATGTAAATAAATATCTTTTGCAATCTTCCCAGATTTCCCTATTAAGCTAATTACACAAAATACTAATAATAAATATATAAATAATAACAGAGTCAATCGAACACACTTGTTTCGCATGAACGTCGACCTGCGCGCTATGGAAGCTGAAGTGCAAAAGTTACGCGCAAAGATGCGCGATGTGCTGACTCGCAAGCTGGGCCGTCCGCGCCGCGTGGATCGCACGCTCGACGACTTGCTGAGGCAAATGGCTCGCCGACACAAGTTCTCCACAACATTGGGCACGCTACCGCAAATAATGATACAACTACGCGAGTGGAGGGTATTTATAACGAACACAACAGAAACTAAGTGGTTACTTTCTGTATACTGCATTTCTTTACTATGCCGCGACTTTCGCTAACTTCTCTGCCGCCATTAAGTTTGAATCGCTTTATACCTTAAAATACTAATATTTTGCCTCTTCTAACAACAGGAACGTCACAGTGAATTGGAGAAGAAATATTTAAAATCACTTTCACATTACTCCGAGAGACTCCGTCTTGCTTCTGCTTTACAGAGCGATGTATTACCACTAAAGGTAAGTGTTTAGTGCTGATTAGCGTTGTCAGACTCGTATTTCAGGTATAACTTTAAACGTCCCGCCGGGACAGTCTGTCCTGTATTTCAACATTATTGAAAGAAACAAAAAAATATGTACCTATAGGATATTAGATTTAAATGACTCACCAATTTTGTAGGAGTTACTCTATCACAATTTTTTTACTCTATCACTAATAGACTTCTCCAATGCTTTCAATATGCGATTCTGAAAACTCTTAATTTTTCATCTTTGACATTGGACTGGTTTTCATCTTACCTCATTGGTCGCCAGCAGGCAGTGCGCAATGATCGTGAATTGTCAAGTTGGAATGACTTGACTGCTGGCGTTCCACAATGGGGGATTCTTTCCCCTCTTCTTTTCTTTTTGTTTATTATTTTTCTTTCCTCCTCGCTTGGCTGCTTTTATCATTTCTATGCTGATGATTTGCAGATTTATGTGCAAACGACTGCTGAGGAAATTTCAGCTGGAATATCTCAGCTCAATAGGGAACTTTGCAATGTAAGTTCTTGGTCTGCTGACTTTGGAAATGCCGATAACATCACCAAATGTCAAGCTATTGTGGTGGGTGGTTCTCAATAAATATGCTATACGTTTCATCTTTTTCCTCCGCAAATTTGACCATGTTTCTTCATATCGATTCCAACTAAAATGGCTTCCTATTCGCCAGCGCAGGCAGCTAAGATTACTCTGCACTCTTTTTACCGTTATTTCCAACCCTCATTGTTCAGAGTACTTGAAATGCAAATTTCAGTATCTCTGTGCTAGTCACGACCGTCCTCTCCGCTCTTGTGATTCATTAGCTCTCTATATTCCTCTTTCGCATTCAGGCTATATATCCAACTCCTTTACTCTTCAAGCAATATGACTGTGGTATGACCTCCCCGACTCCATCAGAAGATCTCCTAGTAAACTTATATTTAAAAGGAGTGTTCACGCTCAGTTGTTGCAAAATTTAAGATGAAGTGTCACTTTTTAATCATCATCATGTAAATATTATATATATATCTATAGACTATTTATATATTTAAATATTAGTGTGTTATGTTTGTATGTATTATATTATTTTTATGGTATGTATTTATATATGTATCTATCTTTTTTTTTGTACATATAGATATATTCGTATTTAGCTTTATACCGCCGTTCGTGTTTTTCATTTTTACCAAAGGTTGACTGGGATAGAAAGCTTTTAGCATTAAGTCCGCCTTTTGTACCATTGTTATATATTTTGGTCAATAAAGTTTAAAATAAATAAATAAGAGGGAAAATCAGTTCTTATCAATCTTATGTTGGTTTTGTTACCAATTCCTTTTTTCTTCCAGATGTTGTAAAGACAGGACGTAGCATCTTTTGCTATCCAGGTTTTTCTGTTTATCTCGATGATACTTACAGCTGCAGTTATTGTTGATTAGGGAGTCGAAATATATATATAGCAGTCGACGTTTTTAATGCCAAAAATGTTGCAGACCCCTTGTGCTAGCTTTCCGTCTCGGTCAAATATCAATTTTGTTCTGTTTACTGGTAGACCGATTTTGCCACTTTCTGCCTCGAGTGGTTAGAACAGCTCACTCATATCTTCCATAGATATTGCCAAATAGATGATGTCGTGGGTGTACCGAAGATTTGATATATACTTTCTACCTGAAACCCTTCACCCAATTCTTTATTGTCTTCCGAATGATATAATTATGTTCTAATTCTCCATCGAATAAAAAGGGCAGGGGACAAAATGCAACCCTGTCTCGGTCCTTTACTAGTTTGGAACATATCGGAGTATTCAGTACTTATTCTGGGGAACGCAACGAGGTGTTCAGGAACCCCCATTTCGAGTTGCACGTAGTCTATGAAAAACATGACAATGATTTCAGTTGCATTGAATTCAAAAATATGTTAAATAACTTGGGACGTATTTACCCTAGGGCCATCGCCCGGGGTGGCGAGCTGCGAGGGGCGGCAGTAGCTTTATAAAGGCATTAGTTACTAACCTATATTTTGATTTGATCTACTAATTCTGGGGGCGGTCCAAACCGTAAGCGGCCGTGCCTCCCTATCATGAGCACCGCGATATGATATATTTTTATCACTCTCAGTTGTCAAATTACTATGGAGTTTGACAGTTAGACACGATAAAAAACGTGATAAAATTTATAATGTAGTGCTCATGCTACAGTTACTGGGGCGCCAGATTTGTATTAAAAAAATTGTTTGCATTTGCTCCGGGGATTTTTCTTTAAATTCTGTTTTTATTTTTGGCAAAATGAGCATTTGTTCCTTACAGGATCAAAAAAAACTGGCATCCCTTATGCTGATATAAAAAGGCTTTTGTCCTGCATATATATTTCATAGCTTTAATAAAATAGATAATGATTGTTATAAGGATACCATGTTTCCATGCACTAGTTGCGATTGCCGATCTACATGAGTTAAGAAAAAAGTTGCTTAATTTTGCAACCATGCTGCGCTGACCTTTGCTTCACTAAGCACTACGAGTTATGTTATTGTTAATCTGTATACAGGGCGTCCCACGGGTACCTCACACGGAGGGAAAGTATATTAAATATTGGAGATAGGATATTTTACCGAAAGAAGACATCATTTTATTTTTAATTATAACTAGAACTGCATTCACAGATTTTTTTAAAATCGCCTGCTAAAACGGGGAATAAAACTCATGAAATTTCGAAAAAAAAAACACTACATGTTTTATGATAACCATCGAAAGGGTTAATCATAACAATTATTTTTTGCTAAATAACATAGCATTTGAAATGAAAGAAAAGTCATAAAATTACACAATTTATTAAAAATATTTATTCAACAAAAAGTAATAAAAAACGAAATGTATCAAACGTTCAAAATGTGATCCGATTTGTTGTATGCAAATTCTCACTCTAATGTTTTCTCTGCCTGTCGATTTCATTATCTTTGCGTGTTGAATGTTTGTAATAATACGTCTGAGTTATTTTGTAACTCCTGCACACTGTCTTACCGGTTCTTGTATACTTCATCTGTTACATAACCCCACAAAAAAAGTCCAGTGGGGTAAGATCTGGGGAACTCGCTGGCCATCTTATTTGTCCATAAGAACCAATCCAGGAAGGAAAGTGTTCATTAAGAAACTCGGCACTTCTCCTACTGTTATGAGTCCCATTTTGCTGGAAAATGAGATTTCGTCGATTTGCATCAGGAAGATTATTGATCTCACCTCTTAAAATATTAAGTATTTCTAGATATCTTTCCGTATTTAGATTTCCATTGTAAAAATGTTTTCAGAGAACCCGGTTTTTAACTAAAATGAAAAACACAAAAAAAGAACAGAATCCTAAGCACGAACCAATGATGTCGATTCTGGCATGATTCTCTAAAGCTAAACTTAAATTTGACAACAGTGCATCCCCGTCATTCTCTATACAGAATGAAAAGGAGAGACTGACGTTAAATTTAGTTTTAAGTTTAGAGAATCACGCCAGAATCGACACCAATATCGAATTCGAATAGTTTTCGAGTGCGAAATGTCATTGTCAAATGTGTACTGATTTTTAGTTCTCGTTACGTACTTTGTGGTGCTGCTGTATAAGTTTCCATACAAAATTTGACATTGACATTTCACACTCGCAAACTATTCGAATTCGATAATGTTTCGTGCTAGGGGTACAGACGCTTGAAAATGTATGTGTTCTATTTTCGAATTTTCAGCCAATCGCATTGTAACTGAGTTCAAAAATAAATGCATACGTACTACACTTTATTCTTTTTATCACGTAATAAGACATTCCTTTCATTTAAAATGCTATGTTAATTAGTAAAAAATCTTTATGATAAACCCTTTCGATGGTTAGCATAAAATATGTCGTATTTTTTTTTTCGAAATTTCACGAGTTTGATTCCCAGTTGTAGCAGTCGATTTTTAAAAAATCTGTGAATGCAGTTCTAGTTATTATTAAAAATGAAATGATGTCTTCTTTCAGTAAAATATCCTATCTTTAATATTTAATATACTTTCCCTCCGTGTGAGGTAGCCGTGGGACGCCCTGTATACCTATAAATGGCAACCGTTACTGAAAACACACACGCACACACACACACACACACACACACACGTACGCACACACACACGCACGCACACACGTTCACACACACATACACATATATACACATACACATATACACGAACACACATACACATAAACAGTATTTTCCCAATAAGTTCCTAATTTTAAAACACTAAACATTGCCTTAAACGCGTCTAAAATTACCATGTAAGTGTAAGACACAGGTTAATCCTATATTATTAGCAGTCAGTGTCCCTTCTGATTGGCATTCTGGTATTTATCCAATAAAGATTTATTATTATTATTATATATATCACCCCCTAAAGGGTTAAAACGGGGGTTCAAAAGTTAACGCGGACAAAGTCACCGCTAGTAAACTAATGTATTAATTAAAACATTAACTAATAACTTTCAAACAATATTTCTAGCGGCAAAAAGATGTTATATTTAACGTAGGCGGGTACGAACCAGAGCAGTATCAACGAGACGTGGTTCGCTTGAGAATCGTACGAGCCCAACAATTACAACAAATAAAGGTAAGCTGCTATGTTGCTTTAATTAAAACAAAATTATAATTTAACAAAGCTAAGCTTATACATATTCACTTCCGAAAACATCTAATGGCCCAACTAGCATTTAAGTTTTGACGGTTCCTAGTTAAAAATAATTGTTACATTGAACACAAAGTTATTACCTACGCAGTTTTTAAGCTGATTTAATAACCATCTTTTCGTGTGTTTAAAATTATTGCTCGAACAGAAACATATTTTTGCTACAGACTGTTGACACTAAGTGGGCCGATAGATGTGTCTGAAAGTAATAATAATAATAATCTATTTATTTCTCTCAAGAATGGTTACAAAGTTTTATATAATAAAGTACAAAGTATAATTAGCAAATAATTTAACCTTCCCGAGACTGGTGTCTGCACTAGGTTGTGAAACCTGTCTTACAGATCACCAGGCTCCCACTGCGCCGGTCATCACTTTCGTACTACACTTAGTATTCAATGAACTCATATATTATTATTTTTTTCACGAGAGAATAAATGATATGATATATAATATACTTAATAAATTAATGACTAATTTCACGCTAATAATAACCAAGTTGTGTGTATCTACGCGGGTGTATAAAATCCATTAAATCGAAAATCAAATCCAAAAAATAAAAAATAAAATTCATTAGAAGATTCAAGATAGAACACTCAGAAGGTTTTTAGTTTCAGTGTACGTTAAGCCCAGAAGCCAATCACTCAAAACGCCTTTAATTTCATGCCTAGTATATTTATATAAGCTTCTTATTCGCCAGCAACTTCGTGAGGAAATCCAAGCACTCCGATTGAAACCACTATCACACAAGGTCCAACCAGTAGCAGTCACGCCACCAGAATCCGTTCGCTCAGACATCTATTTGTTCATGGTCCCACGTTCCATGCCTATCAAGAAGAAATATTTTCCAATGTAGGTATAAAAATCCACAAGGTGCCTTATAGTAGCCCAAGCGGGGATTATATGATTTATTTTACGTCTGGGGCAGCAAAAAAAATCAACAAACGGCCATGACTTTTGGTCGCGGCCAAATTGTCAGTCTTTTGAATAGAAGCTACTGGAAGGTCCACGTAACATCCCTTTTCAATGTCTGACGCGCTCGAATATTGTTTTCCAAAACTCTACCCCTTCGTACGGTCACCCTCATATTATGCAAACCGACAGAACAACATTCTTTCCGTCTTATGAAACGTCACGTGAACCCTCCAGTACTTTCTATTCAATAGACTGACGATTTAGACGCAACCAAATGTCATAGCTGTTTGTTGAAATTTTTTTTGCTGTCCTAGACGTTCGGCCCTACATAGTGGGCACAGGTGTGGTGGGAGTACTTTACAAGGAGCAAGTTTGCCCCTTTTATGTTATTCTGCCACGCTCGAGTGAATCCCCGCTTGCTGCTGTTCGCTTTTTGCTTAACAATATTCTCCGGCAATGCGGAAATATAAGTATATACTTACTATCCAACTTCGAAACTGGACCGAATCTATATCCACTTTTGGTTACATACATACATTCAGTTGTGTTAATTATAACCGTAATCTTTTATATCCAGAACTCCACTTGGTTCGCACGTAAATCTGATCTACGATGTGAACATACAGAAGCTGCTGTTTGACTGCCTCGACTCGATGCATGTGTCAAGAGACGAGGCTGATGAGCTGCTACAAGAGCTCACTTTACAGCTTCCAGACGTCATCTCAGGGTATGCCATGATGATATTGTGATAACCAACGAATTAGAAATGATATGGTTACTCTACTCTCTAACAAAGGTCACCAAAACAATACATGGTTCCTAACTCATACAACTAAACTTAAACACACGCACACAGGTGAAACAAAATATTTTGATAATTCAAATATCTGCAAATGAATTCGGATATCCATTCATTGGGTTAAATAATGTCAAACGGGAATCCCAACCAATCCCATAATCGGCGTGTTGATCGTAGTTTTTACGCCCGTGTGGGGTGTCCTTGATCGCAGTTTTTAGCGCAATCCGTATTCCATATTATTTCCAATTTGTTGGTGATAACACTTGATTTTATCACCACTGAGCATTTACTGGGTTGCAAGATTAAGATAGGCTTGTATGTAAATTTAAAGGAATCTGATACAAGTTTACGACGTGATGACTTCTTCTTAGAGCATTACATACAGTGCAGTAAGTATAATAAATACTAAGAAAATGCAAAAAACACAATAAATACGTACCACATTGAGATGCAAAAGTGCAAAATTTTAGAATACGGTTCGAGTTAGACTATGTATACACATCACATCTAACAGAATGGTTCGATTCCAGCTCATACCTAAGCCTGTAAAATTAGACGCATTGTGCGTTTTTTTTATATTAGGTACCTATTATTTATTTATTTTTTTCTCTCGAAACGATTTGCCTACTGCTTTGTAAGTGTGGATTTTTACTACAATCTAATATATAAAATTCTCGTGTCACGGTGTGCGTAATTGAACTACTCCGAAACGGCTCGACCGATTTTCGTGAATTTTTTTATGCATATTGTACTGAATTCGTTACTACTGGTCTGAGAATCGGACAACATCTATTTTTCATCCCCCTAAATTTTAAGGGTCGTCCGTTAATTTTTTTTGGACAATTTTTTTGTCTTTTCTTTTTATGATAACATCATACAAAAATATATACAAGCCTAAATTTTCACCATTCTACCACTATAGGATGATGCGTGAGTTTCTCGGGTTGTAAAATGAGTGGAACAAAGTTCACAGTACTCACGATTTATTGTTTACACAATATGATCCTAACAAATATATAAGCACTTGATGCAATTGTAGAAGGTGCACAATGAGTTAGCACGGTGATAAAATACAGCGCAATAACTAAGTATTAGCTTAACGTTAAACAAGCTGATGTCGAGATCGTTAGGTACAGTGAGAGAACAAGCGACACGCATACAAAGCAGAGACTAAAGGCTACCATTCACAGGCGCAAGTATTAGCTTAACGTTAAACAAGCTGATGTCGAGATCGTTAGGTACAGTGAGAGAACAAGCGACACGCATACAAAGCAGAGACTAAAGGCTACCATTCACAGGCGCAAGTATTAGCTTAACGTTAAACAAGCTGATATCGAGATCGTTAGGTACAGTGAGAGAACAAGCGACACGCATACAAAGCAGAGACTAAAGGCTACCATTCACAGGCGCGCCCATCCGCCGGATTTGTCGCTGGCGACAAGTCCTTGGGCTTTAAGCCCACCATTCACTACACGCACCGCGAGCCGAACCCCGAGCCGTACCCATTTGTGGACAAATCCGTCATTGCCCACACACTACACGAGCGCCGAGTTGCAGTCCAGTCGCTTGTGTACTTTGGTGAGCCTAGCGCGTATCGTTCTTCGCTACCCTACCATGCCACCGGTGCTTTCCAAACGCACAAAAGTCGCTTTAGTAGTCGGTGCAATACTTTTAACGGAGAATAAAAAGAAAAAGCGCGTTTAAACAAAGGAATGGCTGAAACAACGAACAAAATATACTCATTTAAAATTTTGCATTTAAAACAGCAGGATAAATTCTTGCCAAAACTCTTTATGATCGCCGAACGACATGTTATTATACTCGTTTATACACAACAACACAACTGCAGGCCAATTATGCTAGCTAATTGTAATATTGTTTTGATGTCAATTTCACATTACTCATTATGCTCTCCGAAAAATGCGATATCAAAATGACATCAACTTTAAAATGATATTATTATCAACTTAAATGCGTATTATGTTCAACTTTTTGACATAAAACAGTATCGCATAAACGTCTAAAATGTGATACAGACTTAACAAGTTAGGAGGTGGTTTTTCTGTATCAAATTCCTTTTTTTTTAATAAAAAAGAGTAAAATGGCTCGTTTCGGGTTAGTAATGGACTATTTAGAACGAGCTCATGCCGAGGACATGCGCAGAAGAGATAAACCCCTTGTAGAAGAGATACAATTAGCTCTTTATGTTCGCTATTTGTGATATTGTTTTGATGTCAATTTGACATTACGTATTATGCTCTCCGAAAAATGCGATATCGAAATGACATCAAATTAAGCGTATTATGATCAACTCTTTAAAATGATATTAACTTGATATCAACTTAAATGAGTATTATGTTCAACTTTTTGACTTAAAACAGTATCGCATAAACGTCAAAAAGTGATACAGACGTGATACAGAATTAACAAGTTAAGAGCTCGTTCTGCGTGCACGCACTACAAACTTAGATTAAAACAAAAAGGGTAGATACGGCACTAGCCTCACAAAAGTGATCCGCATAAATTGTGGCCCAAGGCCACAATCACTTAAGTCACAACTTGACATGCAAATGACGTACATGTGAACGTCAAAAAGAAATATTGCTAAAATTTTGTGATTATATGATAAAACAATGCCTAAGTGTTGTTTTAAAAAGTGCTCAAATTGCTCAAGTACTAAAAATAAAACCGACGGCATCACTTTTCATTCGTAAGTACTATAAAATATATTTTTTCATAAAAATGCTGTTTGTTTTGAATCTTATTCGGTATTTGTTATTAAGAAAAAGACAACAACACTTGTAAACTTTGTATGAGGGAGAAAAAGCATAAGCGCGAATATTTGCCATTGTAATGTCAGTCGAGAGTAAAAATTGGGTAGAGTCAACAAAAAAAATTTTTAGTATTTTTTTTTTGGAATATTAATTTATGTAGGTAAAAAATATGCTGCATTTATTAAACTCATTACATTTTGGTTTCTTCGAAGAGGTTTATTTATTTTTTCAGTCATTTTAGCTTTAATATACTCTGTACTTACAGAAATGGCGTTTTCATTCTTTGTAGGGTTTAAAATTGTTTTTGTAATCTTCTTCTTCTTCCAGTGCCTCTTTGGCCGTTAGCTTCCTGTATGTAGTTCTATCAGCAGCCAGCCGGAACAACTGTTCTTTATACACAGTCATCCCTTAACCTGTCAGTACCTTAAGACTTCTTTCGATTTAGAATAGTTCTATGTTTTGGAAACTAATACCAAAAGGATAGAGCGCGTGAAAGTTTGGGAGAGAAGGCTTGTAAAGTCCCTTCTAAGTAAAAATTGTACCAAGACGTGACGTCATGGGAAATTTCATATCAACATATCTCTGTAATGTTTTGATTATGTGAATAAGAAATAAATACTTGTCCAACACTTTTATTAATCTACCTTGTAGCAATATAATTTTATAATATTAAGTTGTAGAAATATTACTAATCAAAGCGCCATCTATCACCATACGTATTCATCATCGAACAATGTAATGGTTTTAAAGAAGCACAGAATATATTATGAATAAAAAAAATTGATAGTTGCATTTCAAAGATGAGATAGATGGAGTTGTATTTAATAGTGTTAAATAAAATTACACGCATTGATTGCGTGATTAGCTATTGTTCAGGAAGCAGTTTCTTGGTGGGAGATGGGCGTAGCCGTACTAACCGGTCATGTCGATTCCTCGCACCAAATATGGTGATTTGAGAGAAATTTGCTGGGACGCCGCTCACGTGATCCTAGGCCACTATAAATAGCTTTGCGCAGACGGTTTCACTCTCTTTTGTCTGCGAACCGAACACTTGAACATCTAGTAAATTGCACAGTGACTGGAAATTATAGTCAGTGCATAATTAATTAAAATATTTTCCCCGGATTAACGGGTAAGTCCAATATATCTAACTGGTTAGGCTGTAGGTCAAGTTAGGTTTTTTTTATTGAACTATAGAAAAATGTGTAATTGTTTCTAGGTCATTTGAAGTGGCTAATTAAAAACAGTATACGATAATCACAATTACTTAATCCTGCTTGGGATTTCTTTGGATATACATATATAAAGAAGTACGCTATATATATATATATAAATGAGCCTGTGAATGCAAACTTGATCAAAAAAAGAGCACATGTGATGACAGCAGATTCTGTTATAACCCACGTGGATACCTGAATCGCTTGATGGTACCGAAATCTTGAAAGCTAAGTAAACTCTCAACCTATTTAATCTTTAAGCAGTGCATTCTCCGAAGTACGAAGTTTCAGATTGTTAGAACATAATAAAAGATTTATTGTTGTAAACTGTAGATTCATTAACGAAAGTAGCTTCATATTTGCCAAACGAATTGTTTCATTAGAATCTTTATATAAATAAATTTGTATGTACGATACTTGCTAAAACAAAATGTTTCCTTAGAATATTAACATTAATATAACTGTATGTACACCTGTTTTGATTGTATGTTCGTCACTGATTTTCTATACCTAAATTTATAAAAGCCATCTTCAAAGATCTTAATTTATAATATTAAGTGTGTTAATATATGTTGAAAATTGAACTGAATATTAACAATACATATATCTTGTTCACTGCGGTTATTGATTTTTTATTTTATCTCCCTCAAATAACAGTAATACGGCGCCCTGATTATAGATTAATTAATTTCGAGTCTCATGTAAAAGCCCTGAAATAGTCGGTGATAACAAAAATTGTTACAACCTGGCCGACAAAGAAAAAAAGGTTTTGTCATCAACCCTGTTGCCACACAGTAGGTACCTAGTAAGATTCTTACTTCTGTTATAAAGCCCAAGGCATAACTTATGTTTATTTTTATTTATTGATGATAATTATTGTTTTTGTTATTTAATTTTACCTTTATATTTTTTTATTATTTAAATGAATAATTTAAAG